AGGAGACAGAGAGAATAAGAAAGAGTACAAAGGGGAGGTGAAAGTGAAAATAAGAGTTCAGAGAGGAGACAGAGAAAAAGAGAGAATGACAGAGAGCACAAGGGAGAGAGGGCACGATGGAAAGGAAAAAGAGAGAATGAGAGAGAGCATGAAGGAGAAGAAACAGAGAGAATGAGTGAGAACACAAAGGAGAGGAGACAGAAAGAATGAGAGAAGGCATGAAAGAGAGAATGAGAGGGAGCACGAAGAAGAGGAGAAAGGGAGAATGAGAAAGTGTATGAAAGAGAAGAGACAGAGAGAGAACAAATAGCACAAAGGAGAGAAAACAAAGAAAGAGAGCATAAAGGAGAGGAGAGAAAGAGCATGAAAGGGAGGAGAGAGAAAAAGGGAAAGAGAATGAAAGGGATGAGAGAAAGCAGACAAAGAATGAGAGAGAGGATAAAGGAAAGGAGAGAAAGAGCATGAAAAGGATGAGAGAGAATGAAAGAGAATGGAAGGCATGAGAGAGAGGGAAAGAGTCATCAAGAAAAGCATGAAGAAGAGACAGAATAATCAGAGATAGGATGAAAGGGAGGAGAGAGCAAGCAAAAAGAAGAAGAGAGAGAAAGAGCATGAAATGGGTGGAGAGAGAGAAGGAAAATGAAAAGGATGAGAGTCAGTAGAAAGTGCCCAAAAGAGAAAAAAAAGAGTCAAAGAAATCCTGAAAGGGAAGAGACAGAGAGTGAGGAAAGAGACAAAGTGAGTGAGCAAAAGGTAGAGAAAGAGAGTCAGAGAGCCAAGGGGAGGAGTCAGAGAGAGAGAGAGAGAAGACAAATGAAAAAATATAGCTGTAGATATTGATGTGCATTGGGGGAAAAAATATCCTCTTTCTGTTGTCCAAGCAATGGATATATCAGAAAAATACTGTTATTTTATCCCTTTTGTCAATTTGTCCTTTAAGAACAGTAAAAATGAGAACAGTCTTCCTTTGTGTATTGAATAAAGTACTAACATTCTAAATTCCAACAATGTTGCCTAATACAACATACATCAGTGGATGGCCAGAATGTAAAGGGCCAAAACATTGTGATTATAACAAACATGAGGAAAATAGTTAAAATAACATGTATAATAATAATTTCTCATATCAGAAATTCAGACAAATATGTTAACCAAATTAATAATAACAGAATATCCATCCCCTACTGAAATTGTTTTTAACATCAACCTTCATCTAATTTGGAAGTTCAATTACCAAGCTTAAAAAGATATAATTACAAACTTCTCATCAATAGACTAATAGTGGTGAGGGGTGGTCCATTAAAGTCAATTGTCTGTAGATGTGGAAGGAGTATTTTTTGAGTTATAAAACCACTATAGTAACTACCAGTAGTTATGATCATAATGTAAATAATATAAAATAGTATATATGGCATAAATAAATATATGCTTAATATAGATATGTTAATCAAAATAAGAAAAATAATAGATTTCTCATGTATGTGCTAATGTATCTTACTTTCCATCTTTATTTACAATTGAAAAGCCCACCACTGCCACCAAGTGGTCACTTTGAAAACTAATACAACTTGTTCCACTAAGCCCACAAATTTTTAAATACATCGCTGATGATTTGGAAGTTTTTTCCTGCATATTATTTTTTATTTTGCCTGCAGATTTTGTCCATTGCATCCAAAGTGCATTGATGGAGGGATCCATAGATGAAAGGTTTGTCTGTAATGTTCACTATTACTATTGACACAGCAAATATTATTTCCCTCTGAAAGTTCTCCACTGCCTTAACCGGGTATTGAACTCACACATTTGGGGTCCTGTCACTGGATCTAACTAAGGCCTTTATCCACTGTGAGCGAAATAAAGGGTTCAGTTCAACATTCCAACCACCTGAAGAAGGCCGGAGCATACAACAGCCGAAACGTTGTAAAAAATATGGGGACAATAGTCTGAATAATGTACATAATACCACATCTCAGAAATATAGATAGATACTGATACTGACTGACATTACATTTAAATTTTCAAGATCAAAGTTGACTAGGAAGCACAAAAGCTGGAAGAGAGTTCCACAAGCAAGAAGTGCAATAGAAGAACTGACAGTTCCATCTAGCCGCCATTTCAACTGTAAATTGATGAGACTTAGCCACCAATCTGGTACTGCACTTAAATTCATAAAGTCTAGGTACCCTAGAAGAAAGTTCATCAAAACAATTGCAATGTAAGTAGTTATAGAAAAGGCACAGGGAAGCTATGTTACAGCCATGGGAAAGAGACTAAAGCTGAGATGCCAGGTCAGGACCAATAACATTTCAGATTCTGCTTTGGATTTTATCAAGAATTTCTAAATATATAGCAGGAGCACAAGATGAGATATGACAGCAATATTCAAAGCAAGGACAAATGGTAGACTTCTAAATATTTAAGATAGATTCTGGCAAGAAAAAATGTCAAGCACAACAAAGTAAACCAGCCTTCTTAACTTCAGACTTAGCAATTGATTCAATAGACTCTTTCCACTTCATGTCAGCTGAAAACCTTAGTCAGAGAAGGTACACCAAGTCACTATCCTGGAGGTTAGCATCAGCCATGCTGATGAAAGGTAATAAGGGTTCTCTTAGATGATTAAAAGAGAGCAATTTCGTTTTTTGAGACATTAAAATTAACAAGCCACTCCTTGCCCCATTTAACAACAGATTGTAGGTCATTTTGTATCTGGAAAGTATCTAGTCATTTTGAAGCCAATTAAACAGTCTTGATGTAACTTGGCAACTAATCAAAGGTGACAGTGTGAACACTCTCCCATAAGGTTACTCAGTCAGTAGTGAGATGTTATCGAGTGTGACAGTCATATTCTCCATGACAATCAACTCATCTGCATTTCACATCTCATGCAGAGATGTTCAACAAATGCAAGGTTCAAGAGCCACTCAAGTGAGGAGAATATTTTTAAAATTGTTATTATGAATAAGGTGTGTGATATAAATGAAAGAGAAGATAATAAGAATAAGGAGGATAGATAGAAAGCGACTCTTGACTTGAAGGGAATAAGATGGTAGTGTTCAAAAAGATATCTACATTGGAGTCTGTTCTGCAAAGTGGCAGTTATTGGGAAGCTGTTTGAGTGGAACTTTCTTTCACTGGGGAAATGGGAGTGATTCGACTCCATGGAAGTAACATGGCAGTCCGTAAGTGTAAACGTCTGAACAGGTGGAACTAAAGAATAGAGTGCATCAAAATATTTGCCATGGAAATAGCAGCAGAGTAACAATAGGCTTGCAATGTTGTGTCTCCTAAAGCAACACATCACTCAGAACTTCCAACTTCTCCCTACAGTCTAGATTTGGCTTCATAAGATTTTTGGCTTTACTCGAAAACTTAAAATATAAAAGTCACCATTGAAAAGGAGATTTCAGATTAAAGAGAACCCAATGAAGCAGCTGATGGAAATCTCCAACTATTCTACTCATGCAGGAAATTCTACTATGCAGGAAATGCTTTCTAGGACAGATCCCATATCAATGTCACTATTTAGAACCTATGATGAGAAAATGTCAGTATGTTTTAAGTCTTAAAAAAAAAATGAATCTACTCATCCTCTAGTAAAGAAGAAAGTTAATCTCAGATTGTTTGTAATTAATTTTGTGCTATGCTAAAGCTTGTGAATATCAACAATATTAATAATCATAGGCAATCATGTGGATAAATTCTCAGTTTAAACCTCGGCTATCCAAATACCATTTCTGTACTGTAATCACTGCAAAAGTCTTTACAGATTTGATGATCAATTACTATCAATGTTCATAAAATTCTTTAAAAAAAAGTACTAAAGTTCATAAAAATTCACTGAAAAAAATGCCAAAAACATAAAAATGCTTTTAAAAAAAGTAGCAAAATTCATAAAAAATAGTATAAAAATTCATAAAAATAGTAACAAAGTTCATAAAAATTCATAAAAGAAACTACCAAGGTTCATAAAAATTCATAAAAAAAGTACCAAAGTTCATTTTAAGGACTGAAAAAGAAAATGTATTTCTGTGAATTTACAATAATCTCTAGATGTTTCCCTTTCTTTTATAAAGGTTTGTAATGTTTTGTGAACTTCAACTGAAAGAAGACGAAATGGAGTTAGAAGAAAGATACAGTATAACAGAATGCAATTTAAAGCCATAGATGCTAATCTCAATGGAGACATAGCATGAGAAGCTTAATAGTTAAAGGGACGCCACTCTGCAATCAACATCAGCATGATCCATTGGCTTGAATTCAGAGTTTTTCTTCTTCGACTGGCTGCTATCCAAAGTGAGAGAACTTTTTCAGCCTCCTCATTTAACTCATAGCTGAGGAGGTGAGAAAGATGGACTCACACTTTCCAAAGAGATTCAGTAAAAAGTGAATGCTATAGTCTTGTCCAGAATTGCAATTCTGCTTTTCAATTATACTTTCCCTCAATTAGCAAAACTTCTGTCTCCTTGAATCACATTGGCTTACAGCCATATCACATTGAAACACCAGTTCTTGTACGATCAAATAGAAAATATTTTCTTCTAACTTTAATGTCTCAGTTCCACTTTTAAAAAAAAAAAAACAGGTAAATTTTGAATTTCGACTTTTAGTTACGTCAATAAAATGAAATATTTAAGGGGAATAACTATGTTTAGCCTAAGGAAGAAATTTTTTTTTAAATTTTTTAATTTAAAAAAAATTTTAAATTAAAAACAAAAACATTTGTTTTTGAAATATAAATTTTTTCTTTTTAATTAAAAATAATAAGAATTTCTTTTATTTTTTTTTTTAGATTTAAAATTCTCAATATCCCTTGTTCGTGCACATGTGTAGTCACACCAATATAACACATTTATTCCAATGAAGTACTAAAGAACAAAATGCATCACACAAAAACTTTTTCCAGTTGGCTATATATTTTTTTCCAATCTTGTTCTTGATATATAAAAATTTATATACCATTATCTCAAAGGAAACAAAAAAGAAAAATATTCACTTACTGTTGAGAAGCAAAACATTTCACAGCAGCAATTTTCTTGTCACAAAAGCCACCAGCAACCAACTTAAAATCCCGATCTTTGCTTAAACACTAAAAAAGATAAATATTTTACTGAGTGGAGGTGGTGATTTCAATATTTTTTTTTCTAAGTTTCAACATTTCATACATTTGAACATGTTTATTTTGATTATAGGTTTTTTTTTTAATAAAAGCACCAGTTCATTAAGTCAGAAAACATTACAAGAGTTTAAAAAGTTGTAACTATTAAAAAAACAATTATATTTAGCTGAAATTTCTCACATTTTTCTTTTTTATATATAATAATGTTTACCCTATACAAGGCCCAAGAGTCACTCGAGATTAATTTATTTGTTTAATCGCATATCAACTCCTCATGGGTCATTTAATGCCAAAATTTAATTTTCTTGGGAGCTTTAAAGTAATAAAAATATTATATATGTTATTCTGCTTTCACAATTGAATACATGGTAGATAATACTCAACTTTTGTGCATGTACATGTTTGTGTGGACATAATTACTAGACATGGTGATGTATGTGTTTTATGTTGTACTTTTGTCAAATACAGTTTGATTTCTTTTAGAAATATATTATGAATTAATGCCATGAAAGTTATTTCATGTTGGGTGGTTGATTTCATTTCGTACCATATCAACCCTGGCTATAGAGAGTAAGAGGTAAGAGGAACAGTTTATGAGGAAATGTGGGAAGTCAAGAGTGTAGTGATTAGGAAAGCATCCTCTTGGGAGTCAGTTCCACAAAGTAGCAGTTTATGTGAAGAAATTGTTGAAGTGGAACTTACATTTTGCCAATAGTGCAAGTGAATTAATTCTAAGTGAATTAATGTTCTACAAACTGCAAGAACTTTCCTTCCAACCAGATACATTATTTACAGTCAAATTAATGTTCCCATATTTGTTACTATTATTTTGGCCATTGTGCTCTCCAGCGTTCTTCAGGTATTAATTAATCTGAGAAACCTTCAGAAAATTTTAAACTGAACCCTCTGCTGGGGTTAGCAGTGCTTGTTCTACTGTCAATAACAAGGCATATCTCATCTTTTTTTTTTTTTTAGTGTTGCTCAGTCATTGCTAGTCTAGCTTCCACCATTTCTAAGTCTGCACTACTCAGCTCAGGGATGGGCAATGTAGTGTCATGGATATCCACCCAGAATCAGAAATTGGTGAACTGAGTTTGAATTTCATTCAGGTTTGTTACATTCAATTTCATGCAAATACCTTTGAGAATGGTATGAATCCAACTCTTCCCCCCACCCCATTTATGAGTGGAATAGCAGTACAGACTGGTTCCTCTAGCCTTAGTCGGCAACCAGTCTACCACCGGAATGGCAACCTACTGCAGGAAGATATTCTGCCTAGTCAGTCAAGGGTCGAAAGAGACATGATTGTCCAAGAGTGTATCATTTATGGCACTTAACTAAATCAGTCATGAATTGAAAGAGACATGGCTACCCAATCATGTATCACATATGGCACTTAACTGACCGAGTCAGTCAGGAATCAGAAAAGACATAATCGACTAAGCATGTATCACATGTGGCACTTATCAGACATGAATCAAACAGACATGATCACCCAAGCATGTTTCATGTATGGCAACTAACTGACTGAGTCAGTCATGAATTGAAAGAGGCATTATCACCCAAGCATGTATGATGTATGACACTTAACTGACTGACCAAGTTCAGGGATTGAATTTACAACTATGACACAAAACAGCATTTTAATCCTTTAGGCTGTTGCCTTATAGAACAATCCTGAAGTTAGAACTTGAGCCATAAACTTAATGTTTTTACTGCCTCTCTGCTACTGCTGCTAACTTGCTGTTACACTTGAGGTCTTCTGCAGCTATTTTTCTTTCTTACAGCTGAAGTCTTGCTGTAAAGCTTGGCATTTCTCTTTCTTTACCAATAGCTCCCATATGCTATTTCTATGTTAGGCCTACCAAGGAAGCTGTCATAGCTTCATAAATGCATTGATTCCTCCAGAGGGCTTATTCTTCAATGGTTTTCTCTGAAGTATTTTTACTTCATTCTACAGGGATTGCTAACCACCTTTTCCCCTACACATGATCAGCCATGCCTGATTTCATTGTTTTACACCTAATTATGGATTCTCAATGTCAGACCAGTTGAAAGTTAAGATCACTGAAGGGACATGACATTAAAAATAAATTTTTAAAAATGGCACATACTGGTTTCCAAAAAGAAAGAAAATGATAGAAAGTTCATTTCCTGATAGACTGACTTCAAGAAATGCATGAAGTGTGTGTCTGATCAATCTGTTTGAATTCCCCAAACTTTTAAATAGTTTCATCCACACATAAACAGGGAAATATACACTTAAACATAGACAATGCCACATTATAAAATGAAACAGTAACAAACATATTGATATAAACAGCAAAATTTCTGTGCCTATTTCAAGACGACCAAATACTTACTGATTCTTGTTCTTCTTCAAGCAAATCGTCCGGAAGAGCCACTTGCCAAATCTCATGATTCTTTTCATCTGATGTAGCGAGACAAACATCTAGAATTGTTTAAAATTTCAAAAACCATAACTTATATTACCAACATCAAATTTTATTATCAGATAATTTCTTTATATCTACTCATTAAAATGTGTAATTATGTGTAGTCCAGAGTTTAGTGCAGTGTTTCTCAACATTTTTTAATTCAGTGTGCACTTGTAGAATGACTAAAACTCTGGGATGACCTTTAATTTTTAATAATGAAAAATTAGTCATGAAATTTGAAAATAGGACAATAATAAAGAAGTCTCCTGAAAAAAGCATTTACTTTCAAAATATTACATTGTATATTTAAGAAGCACTACAGTTTTCATTTAAAGGGATTTATGAAGAATTTTTTTTTTTTTAGAGAGGACAATAATGACATTTAAATCCCTTGAGAAAGGCAAAAGGGAAAGGATTATCCACTTCTTCTTAAAGATTGAGAAATTTAGCATCAAGTTTAAAATATCAAATGAAAAGACTTGACTTAGACATGGAAGACGTGTTTGGTGTCTCTAGCTTTTTAAAAATAAAAATAATTCATAAATTACTCTTCTGTTAACGTGGAGCGTGCAATTGTGTGCATCAGTTGAGAAACACTTGTTTAATGCAATGAAATATTTAGGGCAACTCCATCATCAAGACCTTAATCTTAAACACTCTTTAGGCAACTTCAGTCATTAAGGAAAGCATTTGTTCTTCCATTGCAGCTGACTCCAATGGCCAAATAACAGTATATTTAAATTTCACAATTGTGTTGTCACATCCTGCTATAGCAACAGCAAAAAAACAGCCTTGACTTAAATCAAGATCAAAGCTACTGCAGTTTGTATTTGAAGAGCCACCATACGGAGAAGTAATAATGTAGGGTGCTAAAGGTTAAAATAGCCAACTTAAAAATAAAATTCCATTAGTTCTTTCTTGAAAAAGTTTTAAATATAACATCTTTAACATTATTTACATTGTTCAGACTGCCCTCCTCATCTTTATTATCATATTCATGACATTTCAGCCGTTTATGCTTTAGCTTTCTTCAGGTGATTGGAATTTCAAACTGAACCCTTTATTTCGTCCACCAGGGTAGATTGTTCTAGTTTTACATGCCATGCCTCTTCCATATGTTTCAATTATCTCCCTTTAACTCAACTCTCCAAATTTTTGGAGAACAAAAGGTTGAGTTAATGGAAGATAACTAAGACATCCAGAAGAGGCATGGCACGTAGAACTAGAACAATCTACCCCAGTGGATGAAATAAAGGGTTCAGTTCGAAATTCCAATCACCTGAAGGAGGTCAGAGCATATATCATGAATTGACAATAAAGATGAGAACAACAGTCCGAACAACATAAATAATGTAAATAATTACAATACCTCATCTCAGAAATATAAACAAACATTTTTAACATAAACTTGATAATAACAATGTGTATTCTGTTATTTCAATTAGAGACCTTATAACATTATCTTCACCCATATCTCTCATGTCATTGCTTCATGGCATCTAATTCTTTAACACTTTTTTCATAGTTATGTTGTATGAAAGAAGAAATAAATGCCCAGGGGGAGGGGGGAATAGGCCCCTCTCTCAGACTTTCAGTGACCAGACAAAGCAATCCCTTTATTGTGTTTTGCTTCTGATTTGCACAGTTGTGTACAAAGACTGGAAAGAACTCTCAGTACATTCACATGAACCGAAAGATGAAATCAAAATCAAGAAATGAAGACACAAATCCGGTTCTCAACAATTTGGTGTTTATTTCAATAAAGTCCCTTGGTTGGACCTAGTATTCTCTCTAGCAATAGGTAGGAGACACATAAATCCCTTTGAGTCCTTTTCTTATTTCAGCCAATGCTACTGGGACTAGTTGGACAGCTCTCTCTGTCTGTCCAGCCCTAATTGGGAGTCTACTTAATTTATATAAAGCTGCAAGCAGAAATATTTGGTGTCCTTGATCTCTTTCCTTTTCATTATTTTCTTCACCTTCTCTCAAGTGGGTTGCCGCTTTGAACACCAGACTTCACTTTCCTTCAAAGACTGTATCTTCCAGCCATTTAAAAAAAACAACACTTGACTCCGATAACATCATTTAGGGCCCACTTGACTTTATGTGTATTCAGCCACTTGTGTAGGGAACCTATTATAACACTGGGGGGGGTGAGGGGCGGAACAACAAACATTCTTGTTTTTTTTTTAATATTTCTTATGAAAGAGATGCATATAAAACAGACATGTTCAAAAAAAAGAATCTCTCAAAAGTGAAAGGAATAGCTGCCTGTCTTAAAGATCAACATTTTAAATCCTGGCTTTTCACCTGGGTTTGATAATGATTTTTGGCACCAGTGGAGAAATTACCCAACTTCCTCGTTACCAAACAGGACCCATGCACTAGGACAAATGAAGGTAAAAACACTGCCACCTTGAATATTTGAACTCTTGAATAGTTACATCTATGTTTTGTTTTTTCCCCAGAGTAAGCATTAGAAATTGCTTTATCTGCCTAACTTATGCTTCACTTCAACAAATAAATTTTATTAAGGAACAACACTGATTTGTACCACTGGCTTTGTTTTTATCTCTATGATTTCAGTTGTGCATGGATTTTGTTTGTTCTTTTTTTAACTGTATAAGGTAAAAGTAATGCCAGAAAGAAAGAATTCCAGGTGACATGGTGATGTTTGGTGATGCATGGTAATTTCCTTGATGCCGCTAAGACTTGGTGGGAGTGCCTAAGGCTTAGTACTGAGAAATGTGAGAAAGGAAAACATTTGAAAGATGTAAAAACAGGTGAAACATGAAATAAATACTTCATTCAAATTAAATTTGTATTTCATTCTTTGATTGGATGTCTGGAGCCATCCCCCCACACACACACACTTCTGCACACTGCCGTTTAAGACAGAGTGAAAGATTTTTGAATTAAGCAGTTCAAAAGAAAATAAATTAAAGGGAGATAACTATTAAATGTCAACTATTAGAGTACCACACCTTATTTATTTCATGAAGAAAGCAATTTGGATGAGAATATAGAGTAACAAATCTCTACGATCAAAGAAGTGAGTGTGTGCTCAAGAGGAACCAGCTACTTTGGCCGATACTTTTTTTGGAGGGGGAGATTGGAAAGCCTGAAAATGATGGTCACGTAAAAGAGAATGGAAAAAGATGAGACAAAATGGAGAGATTAAAGGTCTTCTATAATGGTAGTGGGGAAAAGCAGTAGGTAGAAATTGTTGGTCCTTGATGGATGGGTCATTTAGCCTACTATGTTGGACCTGCAAATTCCATGGACATAGAAGGTATAGCAATCTTTGACTTTCATGCCCACAAAAAAAATGGTGTGTGAAAAGTATGGTTTTTCCCTTGACACCACTATTATTTTAACTACCTTCACTCCGCAGCAATGTTTATTATTATAAAAAGCAATGATTAAAATTGTAATAAAACCTAAACATATGAAAGTCAATTTATATATTTTCTTTGTTCTTCAGAATTGACAACAAATAAAATAAACACTATTTATTATATTATTTATTGGAATGGTTGGCAAAACATTGACTAATTGCTAATTGATTTGAACTTTATAAAATGGTAAACAATAAGGATTTCTTTAGAGTTGTTCATTTGCATATTTTAATAATTTAGTTTATAAATTTTTGAATAAAAAACTATTTTCATATTTATTTCTTTATAAATTGGTAAATGATAAATATTGCATTGCATTACTTTTAATTGTATTAGTTTTTAGAATGTTGTAAATATAAAATTATTCTTGTAAATAAACAATCTAATAAACAGCATTTTATTTTTTGTTGTTGTAAATTCTCAAGAACAAAAAAAGTATAAATTCACATTCATATGTTTAGGTTTTATTACAATTCTAATCATCACTTTTTTGACACTGTTTTTTTTTTTTTTTGAGGATACAAAGGTCCAAGATTGCTGAAGGTTTTCTCTATTAAAAGGTGGTGGCTTATCCTCAAAATTGTAGGAATTGGGTCACAGGAAATATGAAAAGTGTAATAGGATAGAACACATAAGGAAGCAGTAACCCTGCCACTCCTGGGACAGGTAAAAAGTTAACAACTTGACCAGAAAGGAAAAATATCTCAAAGACACTTAAGAAAGCTTTAGTTTAAGTGAGAAAGCAGGTGTCCCAAATGAAGGGGTTGGAAGAGCGTGTGACAAAAAGTAACAAATTGTAACATTTAGATATTGGACTTGTAGAAATCCAAAGTGAATAGGAAGAATTTTAGACATGTTGGAATTGTGCCACAAAAGAAGTGACTATCCTGTAAGAAGTAAGACAAGTGAAACCGGGAGAGGAAGAGATAACAAATAGAAAGACTGTAAGTGTTTGTTTGGCTGAATTCAATTACCAAACTAAGGTAAGATCAATTGACATGTTGTCTCTGTCATAACAAAGGATCAATAATAGTTAAGTCTGAAGTAGACACTAAGGTTTATCACATAAATGTAAGGAGCCCAGCTTGATTTGTTTGTACACTTACATAGTCAAGTGGACTGTAAATGATTTTATCTGGGCCTGAAACAACCAGCATTGGTGATGCTCGTCACCATGCGCATCCACTTCAGCTACTGCTGTCGCTTCGCATGCGGTGACATCTGCGAACGGGTCACTCAATTTGACATCCGTGACAGATGGGATTTTGCCGTCGCTGTCTTATTTCGAACATCCTGTGGAGCGTAAGATGAGGGATCACTCATAGACCACTTGACTTCAAGCTCAGAGTATTGTACTTAGTAGAGCAGCCACCACGCTGCAATCTATTGGGACTAAGCCCTCAACTGACTCGATTCGTCTTCCTTGTGGGCCAACTAACGTCAACACTTTTCTTGAAACAGCAAAAGACATAAAAAACATGAAAAAAGTTTGTACATCCGTTTGTTCATTCATCTTCCGCTTGACAGTTCCTTTTTCCATTTCCACAGCAATGAACAGAAATGGATGTGCTGCGGATATGACTTGCGCGCCAGCCACATGCAATTGTATATGTTCGACACACAGCGAACTGGACCGGCACACTTCCCAGCCGACTATGGTGTGCACTGTGGTATCCCATCAGGAAGAGGAATAACAACCAACTGTCCAGACACAATGTGATACCGTTCCACTGCTCTAAAACTTGATGGGAAAAACTTTGATCAAGCTCACGTAAACTGTGACTGATTTAAGCTTGCCAGACGCCTCATCCTCTAGTGAGTGTAAAAAAACAAGAGAGACTTTTAAGAAATCGAGGTTGGAAATGGAATTAAACCTGTCAATGATTGTCTGCTGATCATTCACCACACTTGCACACACTTTCACTCACCGATTCTATGCGAATGTTGAAGAAAGCAAAGCTTGTTACACGAAGCGCATTTACTGTTTAAGGCAGGCAGGGAGGCAGGTGCAAGTGAGCAAGTGAGCTTGGTAGCACGCTGTAGCTGCTGCCACCACCGAAGCCCAATCGCTCGTCCAGCTGGGCTAAATCGCCACCTGAAGTGATATAATATATGAGCTGATTCTTCATAAATATTCAGTTAAAGTGGTACAAGGATGTGACTGTGTATGCAGTTCGCCAAGCAGAAAACGTAAAACAGCTCTTATCCCACATGTGAACAGGCAGAGAAAACTGGACCAGATTGATTTGTTTGTTTTTTACCATTTATCAACCTTTTTGAGGTTATTTAAAGCTGAAACATATTTTTGAATTGTAAGAATTTTTTTGAGATAATAATAATTTTCTGATACAAGTCTTACTAGTTAACCCATAGCTGGGAGGAGGAGAAGAGGTGAATTCATTCCTTTCCCAAGGGGATTTGCATGTAAGTGAATATAATAAACCCAACGGGAATTCAAACTCAGCTCTCCACTTTCTCATTCCAAGACATTAAACTTTACACCACCTGCACATCCAAGCTTACAACATCTGATATTTCAAAACAGTCACCAGGTTCAACATTGCTTAAAACTGAACCACAGATGGAAACCTGTTGTAGTAAAGAAAAGACTGTCAACTGATAGTAGCAACTGCAATAGATTTCGTGTTTCTCGTCCGCAACACTTGTAGCCAAATCGCAGTTCACACGATAGTCCGACGTAACAGTCCAACACACACCATAGAAATGACAAAATGGGATCACAAATCCAACCTTCACTTCTCGCCAACAACAACATGTGTTCGTCTCACAGCTCAAAAAAATCATCTTTTATAAGCGAAAAACAACAAGTTGTGTTCACCGAGAGAATTTTCTGATTGGTCACGCCATTCAGGGGAGGGAAGAACATTAGCATAGCTTCTAGTCATTGATGTAGATTTTTGCTAACTACTTTTTGGTAATTTTTCTTCAGCAGATTGCACACAAAACACAAACTTTTTTTCGGGGTACCTGATTATCTCTTTCACTACAAAACACTACTAGAAAATAGTTGAGCAGATATGTCTGGTCATCTTTGTAATTCAGAATCAAATAACAAGTAAGTTTAAATGCGAACATGCTAAAAATTTGAAATTAGGAGAGAGAGGGAGAGAGAAGAATGGGAGATTTCTCCCACCTTCTCAGCATGCAAGAACTCCCCTCCCTCCATTTTGCCATTATGACTCTATGAAGGACAACAGAAATGCCTGATTTGGTTTGGTTGCTTAATGGCATATCAACTATTTATGGATCATTTAATGCCAAAATTTATTTTTCTTGGGAGCTTTGGTAATTTTTTTTTTTACTATTAAAATCTATTGCTGGTATTTTTACTATAAAAATGTATTTTTATACTTTCATAGTGTTTTGCCCCCAGTTTGGGGATACACTATTTTCCTATAGCTCAGACCCTAACAGGTGCTACTAGGATGGACCTGGGAAAAACAGCAATTAAGAGGTGGTTCCACACTCCTCAAAACCCTCCGATAAGAGGCCTTGCTGCAAGATGTAGTATATCTTTATACCCAGTACACACAACAGAAATGTCTTGAGAAAAAAAGAAAATTAAAAGTTGTTTTTGGTCTGCCTCTTTTTCTCTTCCTATCTCAAGGCAAACTTCTGGTCCTCTTTCATTGGACATCTTCAAAACATGACTGACCAATCATAACCTACATTTCTTAGTAAGCCAGAGCTATAAATTATATATTAATAATAAATATATATCTTTTTCCTCACCAGTACCATAACTCTGAGTTTCATGCACAACACAATCTAAGTTGTTACATAATTTAAAATTTAATATATATATATATATATATATATATATATATATATATATATATATATATATATATATATATACTGGACTATCATAATAGGCAAACAGTCCATATTATTTGCAGAGATTGTTTTAAAAAGTTTTTTTGAAATTTTGTATTTAAAATAAACATAAATAAATGGGGGGAAAAAAGTGGTAAAAACACACATCCACACATACTTCAAGCTACAAAGGTAGAAATATAAATATACAGTTAAATATAAATATACACATCTAAGTAATTATAAAAATAATACAAAGGTACACACAAATATCATGGCACATCAACATATATATATATATATATATATATATATATATATATATATATATATATATAAAATGAATAAGGAATCCTTAAAATCCATTATGTGTAATAATTTATTTCATGGGCTGTTGCCCAATCATTTCAGACCCCAAACTTTTTTGGTCTGAATGATTGGGCAATAAAATAAATTATTACCACATAATGGATTTTTAAGGATTTCTTATTCATTATTATAATATTGCTCTATTTTTACATTGAGCTCTCTTTGGATTCATATCCCCCTTGGAATTATCCTTACTAAACATCATTGGACATATATATATATATATATATATATATCGGAAATCCAGTTGAACACTCTAAGGAAAAGGTGGTTTTAAAAAACAACAACTCCTACTGCTATTAAGCATTACTCTTTGTTCTGAGCTGCTGGCATATTTCTTATAGATAAAAATGTTAAAATTCCCTTCCTTACCTGCCATGCGATGATGGCCTAGAGTTAAGAGATCTGACTGATGTCAAATCAGTCGGGTTTTTATCCTGGCTTGAAGCAATCGGATGTCTAGCCACACTGAGGAGCTGTGATACAGCAAAACAGTCTGTCTGTAGATGACTATATATATATATATATATACACACACACACATATATACATATATACATGGTTACATATGAGTATTAAAGTCAAAAGGCGTAACCTATGCCTTGTAGAAAAATTAACTATTTTAAAAAATTTAAATAACCCTAATGTATTAAAGAAGAGAAATGAATTCATGGTCACATGTAGGCATAAAAATAAATACTGGTTGTGACATGTTGAACAGATTGATTTCCATTGAAGACAACACCTTCCTTTTTTAATTAATAATGTTACTTTATCTTCAGTTGAATATTTTCTTTTTTTTGTATGAGTGCATAATCACTAGCTTGAATTAGTTTCACTTTTACTTGTATATATATCGTGTCTTTCAATAATACATGGCCATATGATTTCAATGAAAAAAACACAGCTATGTGCATACGTATGAATACTATTCAAAAATATATTGTTAAATATAATAGACAATGAATGTCAATTATGTTTGATCTTGAGCCATTCTAAACTTTGTATGGTTGCTTTAATTTTGGGTGAAAATAAAGACAAAAATTGTTCAACATTTGAATATTTTTTTATGCTGTTCCTTGATCTAAGCTTTTGGCTCCCATGAGCCATCTTCAGAGTGGTTATATGTATGCATATATGTATACACAGTAAGCATATCCAGTATTTTCTACTACATTAAATTATTTTTTTCGTTAGTACTCATTTAAGAAAATAAAGGTACTTACTTTTCTCATTAATCCAGTCTGAGGCAGTAACAGGCAAATGAAGATCATACATATGAAGTCGATTATATCTAAAGAATAATAATAAATCATAAAATAAGAAAAAATGTCCGTGTTAAATAATTAATCACAATCAATTTACAACACTAAACAAAATTTTCAAGTTGCAAATCTAAGAATCTATCAATACATGATCTGTCTAGAAAGCATCAATCCATTTTGAATATTCCAAGAGTCAGCTGCACAGTCTTGATGAAATTTTAACAGCCAATCAGGGGAGACCTTATTGTGCAGACATTCTCTAATGTAGTTACTCAGTTAGCAGTGAGATTCTACTCAGCAAATTTATGTACTGCCTGACAGTCATATTCACATTTTACTTGAAACTCAGACATTTGTCTCCAAAAATTATACAAATGTGTAATCCATTAATGCCCACCATAAAATTCAGTATTATTTATAGTTTTTTTTTAAACAATCCAGTATTAATTATAGTTTTCTATCTATAACCCATTGATAATTATTGTAGGGATGCAAAGGTTGATTATCTCCCTTTGGATAAGAGGAATTACAAGGATCACATTATGGCCAGTGAATAATGTCAGTTCAGAGAGTGACAAATATGAGTTGCTATTTAGGATGACAGTTGCTATATAGACTGCAGAAATAACAGATGTCACAAGCTCACAGCCATAGGACAAACAGAGGAATCAACGTAGTCTCACCAGAAACATAATGGACACCACCGGCCTGCTCGTTTTCCCTTTGAGAAATATTACTAGTAAGATCCTCTCATTTTTCACTCCTTTCACATTGCTTGTTGTATGTTATAATTTAATATAATGTAAGTAATCATAATACCACATCTCAGAGATATAGACAGAAATTTCTTGTGTGACTTTGCAACATAAAAAAATCTCTTTGAGAACAATACATGTTTGTCATTCATTTCTTTCAGTTATTCTGTTCCACCTGTGTATTAAGGTGTTACTATATCACTGATATATTAATACCTATAATAGGGAAATGTACTGTGGGATTATTCTTTCTTGCTTAGCACCCCTGTTTCCATTGTACCAAAAATGAGATGCTGACCATTAATGAGTTAAAAAGGATTTAAGGAATGAGTAATACCCAGATAAAATTTTGGTAATAGTAATTAAAAATTGGTCAGGAAGTCATTAAAAGAAAAGCAAATTCTGGGAGGCCTTGAACCTACAGAAACCTCTAAGAAAAATGCTATAATCAAAAGCAGGTGACAATGAGAGAATTAGAAGATTTTCTGAAAAGTTGCCTGCCATTTAGAATATCCTGACTATAGATTGTTCTTGTCCTGTGCAGGAATTTTTAGCAAAACATCACATGCTACCAAAAAAGATATACTAGACATTTGATGAGATTTAAACAATGCAACAAGCCTGATTATGATAATTCCCGAAGACAATTTAAGACTGTTTTGAAAATTGGAAAGGATGCTGAGGATGATTATATATTTTCTAATGTGTTGGATTATGTAGTGTAAATGAGCTTGTGTTCCTCTGACATCACTTGTACAACACTAAATACTTTTTTTTAATCTGCCGTTCTTGATTTTCCGCAAACATCACCAATGTAAAAATCACTCTGCTTCAGCCATCTTTTGTCATACCAATACTGTGGCTGACTGACCAATTAACATTCTTCGCTTTGTCCTCAGTTACCCATTAAAATAGCATCCTCCAGTCCAATCAATCAGCATGCAACTTGCTATTGATCGAACCATGCTAAGCTGTACAAAAGCCACCACTACAGAATATACACATTTGGAATAATCTAAAGTGGGGAAGGGAGATACATGCCACTTTCAAGGAACATAATGCCACTGCTACATGTCATGTATTGAAGTAAGGAACTTATTTTCCTTTGCACCAGATGCAAGCCATTCTGACTCGCTTGCTTCTACATAATTGCTCCCCACAGATTATTTCTAGACATAGCTTGTATTTTCAAAATGTGTCATACAGTGACATTTATAGTTTCTTTACACTATCTCCCCAGAGAAGCTAAACTGTTTGACACATTTTCCAAAATGTGAAATATGTGTTGAATCTAATAAAGCAAGTTTTACTTTGTAAGAAAAAACAATTATCAAGCATCATTTTTAGCCTTTTTTTCTTTCAGCATAGACTGGTGATCATACAAGAACTGGTATTTCAAAATGATACGGATGTAAGCCATATCACTTTGAAATATCAGTTTTCGTACAATCACCAAAGTTAAGCAACATCACGACTGGTCAGTACCTAGATGGCTTTGGCTTGGATGTGTCAGTGATATAATGGATAATGATTCAGAATTGGAAATCAGTGAGCTGAGTTCCAATTTCAGTCAGGTTCATTATATTCACTTATACCCTGAGAAAAGATATGAATCCACCTCTTCTCCTCCCAGCTATGGGTTAATTAGTAGGCCTTGTATCAATAAATCATTATTATCTCAAAGAAGTACTTACAATGTAAAAAATGTTTTCTGGCTTTAAATAACATGCAAAATGTTGATAAGCCATAAAAACCAATCAATACACCCTGTGACAATAAACAATTTAGATTCTCTAAACCATAACAAACAAAGTTTGATTGATCACTAGATCTATATCTATTAACTTCTAATCATTTTTTCTAATATGTTTGAGGGCATTCAATCCCCCCCCACACACACACATGCACACACACTCAACTTCTTTATTTTGTTCATATGCATTTTGGCGTTTGGTTTCATTGTCACTCACCTATTTCTATTGGAATAAAATAATCCCCAAATATTTTCTTTATCAACATCCTCAAAACCAAAAGTTTCTCCAATAGTTACTGTTTCTTCAACCATATTATTCACATTTTCAAAGTCACAAATTGTGTTAATCAAAATTTTTAACACACACATGAAAAGAAGGAATGGCATTTTCAAAAAACATGTTAATTAAGGAATACATGTAGTTTTTTTAGGTTTACCCAATACAATGTTGAAGAGCCACTCAAGGTAGAGAGCTATTGTTAAAATCCTCTTGCCATCTTTTCTTTCATTCATATGATATGAATGAAAGAAAAGGTGGCAAGATAATTAAGAGGAAAAACAACAACTGATTCTTGACTTGAAAAGATCAAGATTGAATTGTTGCAACCACAAAGTGGCAGTTCTTACCAAAAAATCTGAGTGAAACTTTCTTTTTACATTTGGAACAGAGAGGAAAAGAGGATGATTCAACTCTGTGGAATCAGCAAGGTAGGTTCTAGCTGCAAAAGTCTTAACTAATAGGTCTTGAGAATAGAGCTTATATGAACATTTGCTATGGAAGTAGCAACAGGCTTACAATGTTGTGTCTATAGGGAAACAGGATGCAGAGTGGAAAACACAAGAGGCTGGGAAATGAGAATTGAGCTTCTCCAGTCTAGATATAGCAGCAATGTTCCATTTTTGGTCTAATCTGATTGTTTAAGTTTAATATCAAAGTGGTAAAAGTAGTATTCAGTGTACATATAGAAACTGAAATGAGAAAGAGAGGGAGAAGATTTCAAACTATATTAATCAATTGCTTAACCCTTAAACAGTAGGCAACATCAATTGATGCTTCGCTGGAGATCAGTGAATATCATCAACTGATTATTTAAATGTTTCCTATTAATACAAGTATCATTTCTTCATGACTCAGTCTAAATGACTAATTGGCAATTCTAGGATTCATGGTGTTATCTCATTTCCTCGAGTATTTGGCTGTAAATAAATGCAGAAAGAACAAGTCAAAGACACCGGTATGTCTGCATGCAGACTTCTCAAAGCAAAAAAAGGTGAAAAATAGCAATAACTTGGTGTAAAGAATTCACAACTCCAGTGTGCATGAAATGTTTCACGGAAACTGTTGAAAAAATATTAAATTTGGGAACCAAACACTTATTTCTCCCTTTACTTTAATTTTATAATGTCCAAATCCATGGCCTTTCCCACTCCTGTTGGAGGAACCCCTCCCTGTTTGATCACATTTTCAGGGGTGTAGCTGTACTAACCACGCTTAGTCAATTGCAGGTTGGTGAGGCTATTTCAAAGTTGACACCCAAGGCTATAGGACCCAGTCTGTCCTGTTATTTACCCATATCCGGAGAGGGGGGGGATAGAAAAGAGTGGATTCATACCTTTCCCAAGGCTATTTGCATGTAAGTTAATGTAATGAACTCAAGTGGAATTTGAACTTAGCTCTCTGATTCCTCAATCTACACCACCATGCTTCATATCATTTTTATATTTCTTGATATATTGATAAATGAGGAACAATGCATTGTATTAGTAGTTGGTTAGCATTTTTAGAATGTTGTAAGATTTAAAATTATTCTTCTAAAAAAACAGTATTTAATACTTTTGTGGAAAATTCTCAAGAACAAAGAAAATGTAAAATTCACTTTCATGTTTGTGTTTTATTAAAATTCTAATCATCTCTTTTGGAAACGATAAACATTGCCAAGAGAGTGAAAGGAGTTTGCAGTAATTAATAGCAGAAAAAAAAAAGTGCTATTGTTTGACCCACAGTTCCTTATGGGTACACATGTTAAACTTTACCAAATTCTTAGTGTTGACCGGGTAAAATCAGAGAGTGACTATCTGTTCCAGTGAGGAGACACAGTGGAGTAATGGATAGCGGCTTGGATTGAGGAATCGGAGAGCCGAGTTCGAATTCCAGTTGAATCCATTACATTCACTTACATGCTAATACCCTTGGGAAAGGCATGAATCCTATTCTTCTCCCTCCAGCTATGGGTAAATAGCAGGACAGACTGGGTTCTATAGCCTTGGATGGCAACTGGTCTAGGAGAAGGAAAAACTCTGAATTCAAAACCTGCGGAGGGCCGTTTGAGGACCTTGTGGCACATAGTGCACCAGGTCTCTGTAATCGGCCCTTCAAAAAGTGTGGATGGTCCTGCACGAAACCTTCACCACTATAATCAAATCTCATGTGCTATACATGCGGTTGGGGACCGCTTGTGAATTCCAAATTCCCATGAAACTCCAAAGGAGCCGGCTCAACCCACCTCGGGTAAATGCCGTTACGTTACAGGTACAGGTAGGTGTTCCAGTTAAAAGCTTTTCCCGTTAGCAAGTGCTGGAAGTAAAATACTGCAAATAATTGAAGCATGAGCCAGATTTATTTTTTTACTCAACTGTGTTTCCTTACTTTATTGTTACGACGATCTGCTGAACAACGAACAGTGATAAAAAATTATAACAGAAAGAAATGAAATAAATTTGTAGTCCTTAGGTATTTAAATTCGATCATCTCCAGTTTTGAAACACAAATTTGATTTATTGTTAAATGTTAACTTAAAAAAAACTATTTCGATGTTTTTGAAGAAATAATTTTTTTAACTAACCATCCACATTTGAAATTTCTTAGACACAAGATGTCACATATGATAAAAAAAATGTTTGTGATGGATTTCGGTTTTATTATAAAAAAATAATATCTTAAATAATGAGATTTTTTTTTAGTACAAAAGTTTAGTCTATAAATATAAAACTACTACAATACATTAATCTCGTAATTAATTTTTTCTCTTTCCAGAATACTTTGCAATACAAAAACAAAATACTCCCCGTTTTAAAATTACCGCGATAATGACTGTTTAGTCAGTAGCTACTACTTGAAAAACACTTGCAAACTCTATGGTTATTCAGTATTACCATTAGGAACAAGCATTTTACCTAAATACCGATTCCATCATCCATTCATCTGCATCAAATTTAATATCTTCATTTTCAACTTCCATCGTTTCCTATTTACACCGAAGTTTTCAAACAACTCGTGTATATTTCTAAGGGAGATAATTCTAAAACCGGTGAACAATTTTTTTAACAATTATGTTCCTCTTTTTAACTTAATTTATAAATAAAGATTTATTAAATTATATTTAATACATAAAACTGGAAATTCAATCTAAGTTTGTTTTTTTTTTTTACTATAAAATAAAGCAAATAAAACGATTATTGGTCAAATTCAATTTGCTAGCGCAACAAAACTGAAAGTATTTTTTAAAATTTCGCTAACAGTTGATATCTGAATATATTCTCTTGTTTGATCTGTAGCACGAGGGAGATGGAGAATCAAGTATCACACTTAATCTCATTATATTTTTATCCGTAAAAATATAGTAATGATAATAATAACCTAATAATATTTTCAACTTAAAGTTGTCCGCGCGAATAGTCTAATTTTAGTGGTTGCAGTTTTAATGTGACACCGTTTATTAAGTCTGTGATGTCCTTTGGTTTGGGCACATGGTGGAATTCTCAAATTTCCAGAGATATTTAATGTGTTTGGTGAGTATATTTTCTTCAGGGTATACGATTTAGCTCATTTTTGTAACTTGTAAAAGGTTTTCTTTGTTAAGTTATGATTAACACCTTTCTACATTACGTAGACATTTTTACACTTCATTCAAACAAAAAAAAAAAAAACATTGTTCAGTGTTACTGTTCACCATTCATTGCCGTTAATTCTGTTTTTATGCATCTGTAATAAACCTTAAAATAATATCACAAAGATAATTATCTCGACCAAAAGCTCGCTATACTAAAGGAGCTTTTGGTCGAGATAATTAAATTATAGTAATTCAGTTCTCGTCAAACTTCTAGCAATGGATTGGGTTGCACTTGTACACATCTGGTTTCGTCCTTACAAATAATTTCTTTAGTGATGAAAATGTTGCTTGTTACTTTTCAAAAAGAAAGTCTATGACCGTATTTATGGTGATGTTGAGTATTTTTTTTTTTTTTTTTTTTATAGATCATTTTAAAATTGGAAAGTAAATATATTTGTGACCGATCCTCTGCTTCGTTGATATCTGATCGAAAATATTTTCTGTTTCCAACTTAAAGACTTAAGTTAAAAGAGTATCTTAATTTTCTAGTCCAATTAAGACTCTATGTTGAAAAGATAAAAAAAAATCAAACCATATTGGTACAAAAAGTCGGTCTGAATCGAAGGAAAATCTTTTTTTTCACCATTTCAATTTCTTATGAAATTATTAACGTTTTAAAAACCTTACCTGACACATAGTACAATAATTATTCTACTCAAATTGTTTTTTAAAATAGAAAAGTTGTAATTTTGAGTAGATTTACTTTTGATTTCAAAATTTTGTTTTATTTTCACATAAAGATTTCTCCTTTCTAATACTTTTTCCTCTTATGAGATTTTTTAAAAATTTAATTATCTTTATTTCTAAAATTTTGAAATTTAATTTTTCATAAAGTGAATTTAAAGTTAAAAATAACTTGTCAGTTTTTGAGCATATGAAATTGCGTATTAAAAAATCTCTTTCGAATTTTTTTTTTTTTTCAGTCTGAATTTCAAGGATGAGTTTTACTTTTCATTATTTACATTCGTCGCGCATCTTTGTTGTTATATTTACAACGTTTCGGCTGTTGTGCCCTCCGGACTTTTTCACATCTATGTCAGTCCGAGTAGCCCTCATGTCTTCAAGAAATTACACTACTGAACCCTTAGTTTTTACTTTTGTATTATTTTCTTGTAGTATCTGTGATGTTCGCTATCTCCACCTTTTTTAATACTGCTCTTTTTTTTTAAGTTGTTTTCAATTTTCATCGAGTCCAACTCTCTCGCAACAAATTACGCAGCACTTATTTTGATGAACTGCATTACTTTTTACTTAAATCAGTAAAAACAGTCTCAGTTGACAATATAAATCGTATAATTGAGAAATGACTATAAAAAGGCATTGTTGCTTATTTACAGCTAATTTGTTTACTGATTATTGTTTGCGTCCCGTGAGGCACTAAAATAAGTAACCAAATAATCTTTTTAAGTTCTCTGAATATCGGTGTCTTTTTTTTTTTTTTTTTTTTTTAAAACGATTTTCGAATATTCTCAAAGTTTAGACTTAAAAATACTTCGGTACTGTAGTATTACTTTTTTCTTCTTTATTTTCCATTTACTAATCTTTTTTTTTTTTTTTTTCAATCCTAGTTATTTTTTTTAATTTGCGACACACAACGATGAAGAGAAAGTGATTCCAATGATAATTTTTGTTTAATCAAAATTTGATCGAATAAACAACCTCCACAGATATGCTAAAAAAAATGAGCATACCTTGATGAAAAATGCTCCCCCTCCCCGAACCTAACAAAGTTTCCAAAATCTTTATTATTAAGAAGGCGAAATTTTGGTTGAAAATCTAGTTTTCCTTGTGGATACAAAGAAATAGGAAATTTTAGCATCTTTTTTTTGTTGTGGAAAATATTGATTTCCAAATTCTTGGAAAGATCAAATAACTGTCGGATTCTAATGAAACTTTCAGTTTCAGGTCTTACACAAATGAAATTAGATTAGAATTTAATTGTTTCTTTTTTAGAAAATCTTTGTAAAACCTTTTTACTTTACATCTGTTATCCCCGCACCCACATTTATTTATACCACATCTAATTGTATGGAATTTTGATAAGTTAATTTTTGTACCGCTTCTTTAATGTTTATATACGCAAAACTCAATTTTCTAGAACAGGACCCCTACTTACCGAAGATTTGCTCTGACTTATAAAATTAAAAAAAATATGCAATAAACCCAAAACACTATTTAATTAGAAAAGTTTTTAATTGCTTTTAGTTTTATGAATAAGATATACGAAAAATCTCTTTTTCTTCGATGAAAAGAATAAGAATTTTTTTTATTTTTTAGAATAATTTATAAAATGTTAAATCTTTTAAATTTCTGTATTAATTTGTACCAGTTATGATATTGCTATTAAATGGCTTACAACAATTCACAATTTTGAATTTTTTCTTTTTGTGTGTGTGTGTGTGTGTGTGTGTGTGTGTGTGTATATATAAACTTGCCAATTGCTGTGAATACAGACGTTCGTACACAACATAAAGTAAGACAAGAGTAATAGTAAATTTAAAGCTCAAGTCCCTAAAATTCGATAAGTAATTTTTAGATATGTCCACCATAGAAAAAAAAATTCCGTGTGTCAATCAGCCAATAAACACCTGTTAAAAATTTCTGTGATATTTTATACTTAAAGCAAGCAAGTAAATATTTTGTTTTGAATCCCATTAAAAACTTTAAATCTGCTAATAATTATTCCTCAAATAAAATTCAGGAAAGTATATTTTATTTTTTTAAAGATTTTTTTTATTAAAGAAAATTACATTGTGATGACAGAGGGCTAAAATCAGTGGATAATCTTTTTTAGCACTTTCAAAACAAAGACTTCTTCTAGTCAATTTAAATTACTTTTGAAATACACTATACAGCAAAGTATTTTGAGTGGGTGACATTTTTTACTTCATACTCTTCTTCACTTATTCTCCTTTCATTCTAAATAAATTGATTTTGATTTGCTAGAATGAGCAGCATCAACAACCTGTTAAAGTTAAACAATTGGTTTAAACTGGAGTTACAAAACATTTTTTCAATGCTTATCACCTCATTATTTGTCCTTTGGCAAAAAAATCATAGGAATAGTCGGTTTTAGCATTTCAAACGATTTTTTTCACATAAGCACAGATTTAAACTCCATTACATTATTTTTAGTTTTATTTCTGGTGCAGGTAGTTCCAACATTATTATTTTTTTTTTTTTTTTTTTTTTTTTTACATTTAGAAACTTTATTGTTCCCAAATATTGAATTAAAAATAGCATCTTTCTTTACTAAACGAAAAATTGTAGTCACATCCTATATAAGGGAGATAACTCAGTGTTTGTAACTCTAAAATGCATCATAACAAACCAACAATATTTGCATACATGATGGACCTGATTTTAAAAAATTTGCATACTGAATACTAATTTTAAAAATTTCTTCTTGAAAATGCTGCAGATTACAGTTGAGGATTTAGGAATTGTCTTTGTTTCTTTTCTAATTATTAAATATTTAAATTAAATAAAATTACTGTGTCAGAAAGGTTTCCTGTAATATATTGACCAATCTTTCTTTAATCATACCGTTTATTTTCCATCCTTGATATTTGCCATAGAATTTAAAATGACAAAAGCATTGATTTTAAAATAAGCAACAAAAATCATTTCTGGAATGAGGAGTTATTAGTTCACATGTAAACAATTTACAATACATTGTTTACATTCAAACTAATGACCCCACTTTGTTGTTGCTGAGAAAAAGGAAATAAATTGTCTTGGCCTTCTCCACTCTCCAAGGTTCATATTAGTATATTTGTGATATACACAATGGACTAGAATATTTCAAAGAAATTAATTCCAAAAATTGTGTCTAGTAAGATTTTATATACAGCATGGAAATATATAAAAATTCTGACTAAAACATTGAAATGGATAAACTCTCTATTAATTTTTTGCCTATTTTTTTTTACCTTTTAGCTTTCACATTTAAATTACTATTTCTGACACAAACTCAGTCCATACCAGGGTTGATAAGACAGATGACTGACATTTTTGTCTACCAAAATAGTCTCTTCCCCAGATGAGATGATTTTGGATTTTATTGTTAATTATTTGCTCTGTAATAATAAATACTTTGAACTCTTTTTGTGGATCAGTTTTAATATTATATATTATTAGGATCCACTTGAACTATATACTAATGGATTTGTTACCTTTGCTATTGTTGTAACCTAGAAAACATTACTGAATGAGGAATAACCAAAACGGAGGTTGGAAATGAAATGGTTAGCTTTATAATATCAATAAAATACAATACTCGCCAATGGTGTAAAGTATGTAAACCACTGCTGAACTGGTGAATTTTTTTAGGTTATTTTATATTTTAATTTTAAATTGTGAAATTAAGATTCAAAATTTGAAATTTGAAATTTTAATTATACATTATTTACTCCTCAATTGTTATTAATATTTATTGTTTGTTTATCTTATGTTCACATTATTTTTTTTTCCTATTTTATTTTGTTGATAATTTTTAACTTAATGTTAACTGTAAAATATATCAATCTGTGTTTTTTCAAATTTACCACAATATACCCGTATACGTTAATTTATTCTTCCTTTTCTTCTTTCCCCACTTTTTTCCTCACACCACTGCTTCCACATTTGCTTTCTTATATCTTTACTTCTATTTTTTTTTTTCTCTCTCTCTTTGTATCATTTCCTGTGAGATGACTTACTAAATAGGTCAGTGTCTGGTCCTTACAACCCCCCCCCCTTACTCTTAAGTATCTTAATAAAAATAGATTTAAAATTATTCCTATCTCACCCTTCCCTCTCTCTAATTTTGACCATTTCTGTCATCATCCTCCTGCCCCTCTCTCTATCACCTTACATCAACTTAAAACTACCCCTCAAAAAATGTATAAAAATAATATGTAAATTTAAAACCATTTTTAACTCTTGGAAATGGGATCTGAGGAACCAGGAAAAAAACCACCTTCCTGGGGAAATAAAATATAATCAATGGACCCTTAAGGTTGTCTGTTTTCTAATTAAATTAATATTTCCTCTGGTTTGACATTGAGCTCTCTGGATTACATCCTCCTTGGGATTATCCATATGGATTATCAAACTTTTTATTACCTAACCATAGACTGAAACATAGTGATAATAATGTAGGGATGCAGAAGATTTTCTTCCATTTTACAAGATGTATTTACTAATGTCCTATTGGTGATGACTGATAGTTGGGGCATTGACCCAAGTTAGATGTGGTAGACAGTTGTGGCTATGAGAACAAGCAAAAATCATGCAGTCTATATGCAGCACATGAAAATTATTACACAGACTGGCTGTGAAATATTACAAGTAAGACTTTATATTTATCCTTTCACATACTGCTTGTTTTATTAATATTTTTTATAATTTCTCTATGGGACAAATTGTTGTGTGTGTGTGTGTGTGTGTGTATATATATATATATATATATATAAATTGATTTATTTAAAATGTTTTTTTTTTCACTACACAGTTCTAACCATGTTTCAAAAATGGAAGCTAAAAGCTACAAATTTAATTTTGTAATTAAATTAAAGACATTAGTTCCATTTCATCCTCAAGCGAATTTTGAAGTAACTTTTAAAATTACTGGGTTTTAAAGATACAGCTAAAATCATAATTCACGTTTCCAAGGTTACAGATAAATCTACTTCAACTGGACAAGGGTGTCTGGGTGTTCATTATGTCTGTATTATTGTATTCGTTATTGGTAGGTGGGTAGGGATGTATTTTTCAAAAAAATCCAAACGACATGCATTCAACGGATGTCAGATTTCATTAAATAAATCGATTTATAATATTAATGCTCTGTAAATTTACATTGAGCACTATTTTGTAAAAATAAAAATATCTATAAGAACACTGGATTATATATCTTAACTGTTCTTTCTTTTTATTTATACATACATATATAAACAATTCTCCTGGAACTGACTGATGTCTTGATAAGCCTGGTGGAATTGGTTTTAGGTTTGTCTATCTGAATTTCTGGAATGTTTATCTGTATTTATATTATTTACATTCAGATTAGACATGTTTGTATAAAGCCAACAAAAATAAAGATTCCAATGTAAATAATACTTTTTCAAAAATGTAGTTAGAAATTGGGAAATGGCATATATATATATATATATATATATATATATATATATATATATATATAAGTAATTAATGAATATTCTTCATAATTCAAAACAATTCACAAAACCTGATAAAGCACATAATTTATAAATAACTTTTTGATCTTTTAAAATAAAGTTCATTTAGACTTGTCAAATGTAAACATATTAAAACTTGTTAAACTGAAACCTAATTTTACATCTTGCCTAATCATTAATGTGAGCAATACTTTCTGTGTACTGGGCTCAGCAAGCAGGTGCTTATTTTCACTTTGCACTTAATACCATTAAGAAAGGCATGAATCCACTTTTCCCTGCATTCTTACCCATTGCCAGCTATCATAAAACAAATGTCTCATATACACTAATAATAAATACACAATAAGTTGTATTTAGAGTCCAAACTGATGTATATCAAAGAGTTTCATTCATTTAACAAACATTACATTTGTTTTTTTAAAAAAAATCATTCATGTTAAACACATTTTAGACTGCTTCATTGCTGTCTGTGTTAAACATGAACATCATGAGATTTTCATTCATGTTGACTGCATAGTATCTATTAATAGATGTCTGTGGTATGTGAATCCAGCAACAAACTGATAAATTATGTCTGTCTATAAAGCACCACCACATAATGACTGTGAATTTGTAACAGCAATGTTCTTCTTTGTGAATTCCTGTTCTTTGAGATGCTTTTCAGTTCTGCTAAATCCAATGTTGGATATTTTGTGTTGCTTCAACCATTCAATCAGATCTTTGGAAATCTTGTTTTCCATTGGTCTACATTTTTTGATTTCAGAATGGACTTTTTTTTCTTTGGATGTTCCAAGTGCAATATCCAAAGTGATCATCAGCTTCCCATGTTCCTCTGCAAATAAAGATTGATGCTTGCTAAGATAACATGGTCAAAACAAATCAACAGATTTGATGTGTGTGTAGAGAATTTGCTTTGTGATAAACAGCATCTAACTTTCACAGGGGAAATTATGAATGAACTTGTGTTTTGGCTGATCAATAAATGGCAGAAATCTTTGTTTGGTTCTCTTATCAGCTGCACACAGATATAAGAATAATGTCCACTTCTATTTTATGCCACACTACAAAAGAAATAGTCAGTAGCCATATGTGTTTATAATTTTCTTTCTCCTCTTGTAATGTAAGCAATATAAATTCTTACTTTTTAGTTGGTATAAAAGTTGAACAAATGATGAATTTTGGTTAAATTTTGCTGCTACTAATTCTAAAGAGACATTGTAATTGTACATTATACAATTTTTTTTGTTTTTATAGAATTTATATACAGTAGATACTCACATATTATGCAACCTTTGAAGACCTAATTTTGAAGCTAATTTGACTACAGAAAATGGATATAGAATGTGGTCAATGGCATAACTAGGACCAGCAGTACATATGCTAATTTTATATCTCATGTATGATGCAACCCTTTTAAAATTAGTTTCATAATTAGGTCTTCAAAAGTTGCATGATACGTAAATATGTACAACATTTATTCTTTATAGAATTATATCTGGCCTTGTGCTCCTGCTATATATCTCAAGATTCTCAACAAAAACCAAGAAAGGATCTGTAATATTATTATGACCTTACTTCTTGACTTCAATTACTTTCCCACCACTATGATGTGGCTTCTTTCTGTCTTTTTTATAAATATTTCCATGGCAATTGTTCTAATGAGCTCTCCTTGGTACCCCAACTGGATAAATGTAAGTGTTCTGCTAGATTGGCAATTAGGTCTCATTGTTTTACTATTGAATTAGATAGATGTAACTGTAAGTTCTGTTCTAATAGTTTTTGTAGAAGGAAAAATTGCTTACCTCCTGGTATAAAATGCACTTGTACAGATCTCACATGCAAAATACAAGAAAGAAAATATGGCTTATCCAAAAGCTACAATTTAAGAACAACTTGATCTTGTAGGTCAGAGATTTTGTGAGATGAATTTGTGGCTTATGCAAATTTCCTAGCCTCAGCCACATTATAAAATGAGCCCAAGTGAGAGAACATCAGATAGACAGCAGAGGCTGATAAGTCAAGTGGTTGTGTTTTGAGTGTGGAGTTTTGCAGTAGTCTCACTGATTGTGATTGAAAAAAGACTGGATACAACTGGTACTCCAAACAGCCGTACCATTTTCTACAGTTTTTTTTTTCTTTCACCCTTCTCACCTGTTGTACACTCTTCTGATTTCTTGCTTCCCTGCTACCTATAATCTTAAAAAGCTTAAATACATGTCAATCGCAATCTTCTTTCTTCCTGAATCCTGTTCTTTTTTTTTTTTTTTCTCTTTACTAAACTCTTCTCATTCTCTTTTATTCCCAGTTACCCCTTGCATCTTGGTGGCATTATCACCTTGCTTGGGGTGCATATTATAACCAAAAATTACAGTATTCTTTTTATTTCTTTCAGAAAGAGAATGTACTACAAGATGGAACCAATTGCAGTGATGAAATTACTTTTAGGAAAAGATGAACTTCCAATTGATTGCCATCTTACCAGAGCCACCATCAGGTAAGTACACTTATTTTAATTTCCTTATTTAGTATAGCACAAGGCCACAAATGCAGGGTACTCGGTGAGGATTGAACTCATTACATTTATAATGACCTGTAAGATTAACTTGCTAATAAGTTCTCCATAACAAGGTATTGTATTGATTGTTTTTACTAAACCTAGTTTGGTATGGCAGACTGTTACAAATGTAGCAGTAATTCATCTCTCATGGCATCATCAAAGAAACTTCTCTTAAATTAAACAAAAAATACCCCCTTAACTCAACTCTTCAAGCTTTTTCTCACCTCTGCTATAAACAGGTATTGAAGTCACAACTGGATTACTTCAACCAATGCACATGACCTAGTGGATAAAAGTGCTGGTTACAGTAATCCAGTGATTTGACCCAAAGAGGAGTCAGTTCAATACCTGTGAACAAAAACTTCAAGAGTTGAATTAAAGGGAAATAACTGATACTGAGATATCTAGAAGTGGCATGGCATGTGGAACTAGAACAATCTACCCTGGTGGATAAAATGATGGGTTCAGTTTTTGAAAAAAAATACCAGCTGAAAAAGAAAAAAAACATGTTGAATTTTAACTATTTTTTTTTATGCAATAGAAATAATATTCACATGAATAGGTAAATAGCTGCTTCTTTGAGGAATCTTTTATCCTTTATAGTATCTCCTCAGCAGACCTACATTTTGGGGGTCCTGAATCTTTAACAGATATGGGGCTCCTTCATAACCAGTAACAATAAATTTGAAGATCCAACTGCCAAAATGTAGGATATGAATAGGTGCTGGTGAGTTCAACAATTCCATACAGCTGGAGGTTTGAGCACTGCAAGTCCACAAGAAAAATTAGAAATTTGCCTAATTATAGGGAATTTTGAGGCCCTATGAAGCATATTCTAAGGCTAACATTAGCTACATGAACCCATTGGCCATCCTGGGTAAGACAATAAACTACATCTGACAGCAAGGCCTCTGATCAGTTCTTGAGGTGCATGGAACCACCTCTTATTTGCTAGTGTTCCCAAGTCCGCCCTAACCCAGGGTGGTAGCACCTGTTAGGGTCCCAGCTATGGGCAAATAGTTAACACCCAAACCAGGTTCAATATATTATTACTAGCAATACTTTTTTGGAAAAAAAAATATTACCAGCAATACATTTTTTTTTTTTTTTTTTTTTTAATTACCAGAAATACTTTTTAAAAAAATAAATATCACCAGCAATAAAAATCTTGTCAGCATTAAATAACCCACTGAGGTTGATATGCCATAAAACAAACCGAACTATGAACCCATTGGATTATTATTTTATCACTAAAATGGCCTTATGTAGGCAAACAGGCAGAGTTTATTTATAATCATTAATTTTAATTATCACTCAAAAATTTTTGTCAACTGGATTCCTCGATCCAAACCCTGTTCTTTCAGTCAGACATTCATCAGGTGTCATTCATCAGCTTTCTTAGCAGTTTCGACCTGTGACACTTGGGGCTTGGCTCTTATCTAAAGAAATTTTATTTCTTTAGCGATTTACCCTTCACTCTCTCAAGTCAGCCCTATTACTTTTTTTTTTTTTTTTATGGTTTATTCATGGAAGAAAACAAACTTTCTGAATAAAATTCTAATTTCTAATAAATCCTGTCTCATCTCTTGGTATGTTTATTGGGCTATCCCTTAACTCTTCTATTGTCTCCATAGTATCACATCTCGCTTGGTATGTTTATTGAGCTATCCCTTAACTCTTCCATTGTCTCCATAGTATCACATCTCTCTTGGTATGTTTATTGAGCTATCCCTTAACGCTTCTATTGTCTCCATAGTATCACATCTCGCTTGGTATGTTTATTGAGCTATCCCTTAACGCTTCCATTGTCTCCATAGTATCACATCTCTCTTGGTATGTTTATTGGGCTATCCCTTAACTCTTCCCTTGTCTCCATAGTATCGCATCTCTCTTGGTATGTTTATTGGGCTATCCCTTAACTCTTCCCTTGTCTCCATAGTATCATATCTCTCTTGGTATAACTATTGAGCTATCCTTTAACCTTTCCAGTGTTTGATAATGTCACACAGTCCTGTACAAATCATTTATGTTGATGTTTGCTACTTTTCTTTAAAATAACTCCAATATATTCTTGAATCTTATCATTTTAAATGTTTCATGTTTTTTCTTTTTTCTTTTTTTAAAGGGACATTGATCTTTATAAACAAGGCAGTGAAGAATTGAGTTATGACAGTGATGAATTTAGCTCCTTCTCCTCCTCCTCCTCCATTGATACAGAGTTTTACTTAGAGAAAGACAAAGATGATGCCATCATTCCAGATTGTTCTGCTCCTCTTGAAAATTCAGATCCAATGCAACCATGTGATGGTGACAAGGAAGAATTAACAGAACAAACGGAAGATTCTAATCAAGAACAAGAATTGATGAAGCAGTTGGGGTTGCCCACATCTTTTGGAGGCAGCTTTGTAATAAAAAATGAAGACTGCACTAAGGTAAAAATGTACTTTGGATTAAACATAGGCATATAAATATTTACTAAACCTCAATTAGTTGGGTACTGTCACATTATTGGGAGACAACATTGGTTAATTGCCTGCAAGACTAGTTGCTAGTTAAAATGCTGACTTATCAGGGAAAGTAGTGACTATTATCTCTAAAGCTAAATATTATTTCATTTAAAAATAATCTTAAAGGGATTTTTACCTGACTAATGATCCTGATTTGTGTATGTATTTGAGAATGAGTAAAATATTTGAACATTTTTAACAAATTTTGATTTAATGTATTTAAAATTAAAGTAAACTAATTAAACCTTTCTTTTTATCTCTTTGGTTTGGTTTCTTTATTCACTTAAAAAGTTGTAGACCATCTGGTTAAAGCATAGTATCTAAACTCTTTGGAAAAGAGGTAAAAGGAAACCAAGCATAATTTATTTGCATAAAAAATTATAAGTGTAACAAATTAATAAGGGGCCAGAATCAACAAAACCATGATATCCGCATGACAAGTTGCTTCAGAAAAATGTTTTAACCTCGGACAGAAGTTTGTCCATAAACAAAACTTCTATCTCATGCTCTTCGGGCATGTAAGAATATGTGATAAAAATATTAAAAGATTTTCTTAAACTGCCTAACTGGTCTGCTGATTTCATGAAAATAAACAATTTTAAGGATGTTAAAAAATCCAACTATATTCAAACAGGAATACTGACATTCCTATAAGTGAAATGAATATGATTAATGCATAGAAATAATCTATTAGGTCATAAATGATAGGAAAAATAATTTGGAAGCCATATCTGATATACTTTATAAATGAGCTCTCAAAGGGCCTCTTCTTGCATTTTCTTCATATTTAAGTCCTTATAAAATTAAAAGTACATAACACACTTAAGCTGCTTATATTTTTGTAATCTACTGCAAGTATTAATTATTGTCATCAAGTTTCAAATCTGTACAAGAAATATCCTTGGAGCTGTGAATGACATAAATTTTGGGAAAAAAACAAAAAAAAAGAATGCAGTGAAATTTCAAGATGCTCTGATTTTAAAACTATTAACGGTACAGATCTAATATTTTGAATTTGTCAATAAATTTGATCAAGGAACACCTTTAAGGTTTCCCAGAGGCTCTGGGTGTTGACTTCAATGTTCACTTTTATATTTACATACACTCTATCCCTTATTTTGAGCACTTTATTCCATAAATATAGCATACCTTAAAACTATATTTTATCATCTGCCTGTTGATTGCCATCGCATGAAACTCTAAGTAGCAGATTTAGTATTTAGGCTCTGTTGATTTTGGCACTGAGCCCTCAGTTTATTTTATATTTTAGCTTTTATTAGTTGTGTGTGCATGTGTGTATTATTCCTTTAAGATGGTAGTAATTAAAATATAATAGAAAATATAAAATGTAAGTGTAATAATAATGTTTAGACATATTCATGTAAAAAAGGTTTGCAGCATCTTAAATTACTTAATTAGATTACTCATTTACTACTCAACACACTGTTGCCCACACTTTGTCATTAAACAGGAATGCTTGTTATTGATGCTTTCTAATTGTAATCTCTTCATATTAATGTAAAAAAGGTTTGCAGCATCTTAAATGATTACTCATTTACTACTCAACACACTGTTGCCCACACTTTGTCATTAAACAGGAGCGCTTGTTATTGATGCTTTCTAATTGTAATCTCTTCACGTGTCAATTATTTAATTGTTATTCATATGCTGATTTTTTTTTTAGAACACCAGATTTGAATACTGACTCTAAACTTGACTAATCAGCTTATTGTCAATACTTGATCATTTAACCTTTTTTTTTTTCCCCTCTTCTTTATTGGTGATAGAAAGAGAAGAGAAAAAGAAGACCACCAAAAAAGAGGAAAAAGAAAAAATTCAGCAGCAGCAAAGATGTTGAGCCTGAGAAAGTAAATTTGTTGGGAGACGATCAAGAAACCTCAAAAACTGAAGAACCTTTTTTGATACCAGAAATTCCTCCCGAGACATTTTCACTTGTCACTCAACCGGCATTGGATGTAGACAGTGTGTGGCAGGATTACTGGCTGAAATATGGAGAGTATTTAGTATGGCAAGGGTGGGTGACCAAGTACCCTGACCAACTCGACTTGCAGAATTCTACTTATGTTGTTCCACCAATTGCTGAAGTTGAGATTGAGACAGAAGAGACGGGATTAGATGAGGAAGAAGTGAAAGATAACTCCTGTCAGAATTTAAACTTTGAACCTGAAGCACAACAAAGTAAATGTAATTCTTCATTTGAAGATTCAGACACATCACAAAACCATGCAAATGCTGATGGTCATGCATTAAAGAGTCTTAATGATGTGGATTTAACACCAATAAAAGGCAATAATCAACCTTTGTCCAATACTGACTGTGATAACATAGTGAAAGTCTCAAATGTTCTTTCAGACATTTTAAATACTGTCTCTAATTCCTGTAATAGTAAGAGTTCACTTATGACAGAAACTGAAAGACCAATTGATGGTTTTCAGGATTCAGAAGAGCAAACAGATTATTCATCGAGTAAATTTCCAGGTTGTACATCTAAACCTGAAGAAATTGACTTACAAACAACTGGTTCAAATTTAACAAATCAGGAAGCAACAGACAGAATTCACAATAGCTCAGCTAAAAATGAGCTACAAGTCTCAGAATCAAATTATACTAAGGATCAGCTAAAGGAAGAAGCTTTAACCAATCCAAATGAGGAGAAAGCAAGCCAGACTGATGAAAACATTAAAAACCAGTCTAATCCACAGCTGTTGTGGACATTCCGAACTCAGGGACGTTCATTTGATGATGCTGTTGAACGAACAATGAAAAGCATTACTGAATTGAGTCAAGAGGAGATGCTAGAAGACATCTCTGAGCCATATAATGAGAATGGAAACCCTGATGCCCACAATCGAGCCAATGAGAAAGCTGAGCTTGTCCAGATGATGCATTGTTACTCGTGCCATCAGGATAATATCTCTGAGGCTGTTGACTTATATGAGGTGTCAGGAGAGAGTGTGGAGAAGAAAGAAAATCAAGAGGATGTGGCAGAAGAAGAAATACAAACTTATGCTGAAATTTGGAATGACCTTTGGAATGAACATTACCAAGAATGTTATTGGTTTTACTACAACCAGTTTCAGGCAGCCTATGAACGGCATCTCCCATATTCTCAAGTTCCCAAAGAAAATAGTGGGGCAGATGATCAAGAAATTGACTGTTTGGTTGATAAAGAGCCCCTATATAGTAGGCAGTTGAAAACCTCTGGAGACCATTGTTATAATATCTGTCAACCTGTGGAAAATATTGATGCTAATGTTGAGCAAGAAGCTCAAGGTATGAATACTGAAATGACTGAATCGTCTCAGATTGAAAGTATCACTAAAGAGATGACTTCAATTATTGTCCATGAGGATGAGATAGAATCTGTAAGGGGAAGTAACTCTTCAGAGAATCAACCTCAAGATGGCGGAGGACATAAAAGAAAAGGGTCTTCGAAACAAACAACCCCACCTCACAAGTCCTCGTCAAATTCAGGTAAATGTCTGACTTTTTTTTTCTTTACAGCCAATCTTATGAAGAAATATGTTTTCTTATTTTTATTTTGTAAACTAAATTTTTAAATATTTATTAAATTTGTAAAAATATACATTGACAAGCCAAAGGTCACAAGATATCAGTATATAAAGGTAATGGTAGGTGATGTCACTGTACGTTGATATAGAAATGTACAGACCTATATCATTTGCGCTTTGACATTTAGAGACTCAGCTTGGCTGATCATCACAAAATGACATGAATTATCAAATGAGGCATAACAATTGAATGCTATAAAGAGCCATGGCTGTTTATATTCAAAAGGGATATGATATTTAAAAGAAGGAAAGTAATTTTTATTGGCTCTTGTCAAGGTTGAGTGGATGTGATAGATTTTTTGCTGCCACTCCATCAAATATTATGACATGCTAGGAACAAAAGATTTTGCCAAAGTGTCTGGTGATAAGAATGTTGAGAGGAAATGGTTTTCTGCTTTTCCTTGGAGCATTCATGAAAAGGGCACTTTAGAAAGTTCATCATAAATTACCTGTTAACAATACCTCCTTATAATTAAATGGGTAATGCTAATCACTGTACCACATGTAGGTAGGGACAAGATACCAGTAAAAAGATATAACCCTAATTTAAGTATTGAAAAGTTTCTAAGAATTTCTATTCAAAAGTAACATGAATTTAAATCAAGTTCATTAGTTTTTTTTTTTATGATCTCAGTATCAGAGTAAAAATATTTTTTCAAATCTCCGACTTTCACAATCTGACCATTTGCAATATTTTTCCTTTTTAAACTTTCAGTATCACCTCCACTTTTCTATACACAAAAAATTATTAAAAATCATTTTTTTTGTCTTCAAATTAATACTGAATTATTAAAATAGAGAATGTTATTTCTGGCAGAAATTCAATTATTTTTAAAATTTAAAAAAATTAATTTTACTGATTATTCTACCATCTATTCACAAAATGTTAATTTCTTTGATACCAAATTGTTTGATATAGTATAAGCCCAAAACAGCAGGTTTTATATGCCACTTTTACTGGTGGCTAACATGGTCAGTATCTGTTGAAATGGCTATGAATATGATACATTCATTTGAGTCACATCAAATTAATTACAATATACTTTTTAGAAATTGCAATAAAAAAAAATCAGATTATTTTCATGATCTCTGTCTTTTTTTTAAGAAAATATCTTTTATTTAAAAAAAAAACTCATTTCAGCTGAATAATATTGAGAATCTTGTTTCATTTGTAAATATTTTAAGATTATTAAGACTGGATCCATTTAGGCAGGAAACTTTTGTGTTTTTTTTGTGGGGTGGGGTTGTCAGCCATGTAGAGAAACTCAAAGCTAATAAAACAGAGAATGGAATTTGCAAGCAAGGTTCAAATTCTAGTTAAGACAAGTTAGGATTATGCCCTAACCCTAAACATCTTCCCTAGCTATAGATGAAATAGCAGAGACAAACTGGGTTCTCTAGCCTTGGTTGGTAACCAGTCTAGAAGAATAATTGAATTCAATACCTGAAAGTGAGTAAAAATTATGAAAATGTTAGTGATAATTTATAATCCCACCCTGTAAAAACCTACTTACTAAGATATTGATCTAAGATTATTTTTTCTAAACAATTATCAGTCATATGGGAAAATATCTTGTCTCATAGTATCATAGGATGTGATGATAAAATTACATCAAACCAGTTTGATGTCATTGGCAATAGTTTATCAGTTGTAAGTCATTTTCTAGCCTATTCTAAGAAACATGCCAAAAGTTTCCTGAATGCTTGAGGAAAAATTTGCATTTTTTCTCATTTACTTAATCCATACCCTCCTAGGGTCAGTTTAAATTGATCTTTTTTTTTTCTTTTTTTTTTTTTTTTTTTTCATAATTTTGACTATTTTGCATAATATATATTACCGATTTCAGATGAAAATTTTTCAACATATTTCAGTAAAATTTTCAGTTTCCAAAATTACAGTTTGATGAAAAAAGGTGGTGTCAGTTTAAACTTAGTATAATTAAAAAGGCATATTTTTATTATTTTAAAAACTATATTTTTGAAATGCATTTATTTTATAATCATATGCTGGGCAATGACCCAGAGGCAAGAGAAGGATGGGATTCTTTTTCTGTTTCCATTTAATTAAACAACAAAAGACAGCTATTAACAAAAACATTTAAATGGATAAAGCACTTTGCAGGATATGGACAGTGTTTGTTTGAAGTATTTTTTTTTATTTTCTGGTGAGATGGTTCACTAGGTATTTTGTTGATTTGTTTTTGAGTTCCTTTCTTGATCACACCCAAAGCTCCAACCACAATAGGAACAGTTTTAGTTTTTTAAATGCCATGTTTTTTTCTATTTCCATTGCCAGGTATTTGTATTTGCTTAGTTTTTCAAAAACATTTGCAGATATGTTTTTGTCATTTGGTACGCTCATGTCAATAAATATGCAAACTTTTTCCCTTTTCTGTCTTTGATAATAACATCTGGGTGGTTTGCTTGTATTGTTCAATCCGCCTTAATAGAAAAATCTCCAAGGATAACATCTGCTCCCTGAACTGCCAATTCATGATGATGTTCATACCAGTTTGCAGTTGTTTTTATCCCCATAGTGATGACACATCTTCCAATGCAGATATTGACCTACCCTGTCATTACAGCTTTTTGTACTTATTGTATTGAGTATCCTGAGATAAGGTGACCAGTAGTTTCAATTTGCAATGTTCAGTCTTCAAAACAAAAATCAAGTTTATTGAGATCAATATACTCTTAGATTTATTACAATGGTTAAGGTTTGCTTTCATTTTTATCTGATTTTCCTGTCCATCCCTAAAATGTTTATATCTTTTTTTATATCTATTAAGAAATTCAATGACCAGTTGATAGAACATAGGCTTTTAGTAACTGGAATAATCCTAAAAAAAACCTGGCTTTTCTGTTTCAGGCCCTCATGAAGGAAAAATTGGTGGTCAATCTCATAATAGCATGAATAGTATGAGTAGTGGAGATGATGACCCTCCGAATGAGAGACCCACAAAATTAAGCCGAAGGTAAGTTACTGAATGAATTATAACTTAAGATTTTTAGATTTATTTTACAGTCTCTATCCCATAATAGTTGTTACATTTTACATGCATATTTCATACACTAAATGAAATAACTATTATGGGACAGAGGTAGTATTTTTTTATTATTTGTCCCATAATGACTGTTACATTTTACATACACATTTCATATATTTAATATAACAACTACTTGAGGTAATATCTTCTTTTTAGAGTTTTTTCACATATCACTAAAGAAAATAAAGAAATTTGAGCAACATTTACATCAACTCTAATGTGACTCTTGATCAGTCTTAACAAAAAATGTGAGGCTGAAACTTACTTTTGTGATCCACTCTTCTATCATACAACTTTATTTACCTATGCAAATAAAGACATTTGGCAACCTGTTCATGGCTGCCAAAACTGAAATTGTAAATGTTTGAATCTTGAAAGAAAAATGAAATTGTGATGATGTGTATTTGGATTCTCTTTTTTAATTTTCCTAAAGATTACCAGGATTGACAGACACCTGAAGTAGGCTAAAGGGCACAACATTTGAAAAGTTATAACAACAAAGATGAGGACATTATAGTCTTAATATAAATAAGCTGCTTAGATTGTATATTTCAATGAGAGAGACAACACCATATATTCTTGTCAACATTTTTGTGATCAGGAGATTGTGGGGAGTGTGCTGGAGAATTACCTTGGAGGTCCAAGAGGGCTAGAGTAACATAGCCTAAATGTGTGTATAGGGCAAGTGAATTGCTAGAGAAACAAACTGTCCGAGCATCGGCACTGGAATGACAAGGTGTATGCATCATTGAGTCTGATCAAAGCTGGCAGCATGCCCAATATGTGAATTCTCTGGCTTGGAAGCATGTATAAAAAGGGCTAGTTTTTGTTGAGACATCAGAAGGCAACCAATGCAGGTCCCATTAGTGTGTACTGAACCAGAATTCGTTGCAAGCGTGTTTCCAGTGTCTGTGCTACAGAATCCCTGGTTTCCTGCTACAATATATAAGCTGCTTAGATTGTATATTCCAATGAGAGTACCAACCCCTCCTCACTATATATTCTTGTCATCTTCTTGGCTAGCAAATATGGTAGCATAAAACTTTGAATTCTTTTGCTGGAGTAGATTGGCTAAGAACATTGCCCAGTGAAAAAAGTTATGGGGAGACAAAAATGTTTTTAAAATCTTGAATAAGTCCAAGATTTAAGCGGTTCTTTCTTTCTGTGAATATTTGAACGATTAGAATTCAATCGTCAGACTCTCAAATTTATCAACTACTTTCTTCTTTTTTTCTCTCTCTCTCTTTTTTTTTTTTTTTTTAAGCTTTAATCAAATTAGTGTTTTTTACACTCCGGAAACTAAAAATATATCTTTAAATTATCATATTACAATGACAGTTAAAAAGATAGGTGCTGAAAAATTCTTGTCTCAATCCACTTTCCAAAATCAGACCAAATAACCAAACAGAATTTTTTCTGGAATTTCTTCCTGACAGGGCTGAGAACTTTTCGGCACTCTCTTCTTTTTGTAGTAAATTCTCAAGTTGAAATTTCATTTTGTCTCTGATTATTGGCCTGTCTTATTTTAAAATCTGAATTGGCACCAATACAGATACTTACTTCTTTACATATTGATTATAAAGGTTTAAAAGAAAAAAAAAAGTTACTCTATTTGATGTCATATTAGACCTTCCCAATATTAACCCCCTCAGAAAAAAAAATTCTCAAAAAATATTTCCAGTCATATATGTGTGAAGATGAGGTATCAGATAGGTTAATGTTTATCCATGAACATTAGACTATCAGTACTTATACCAAGCCTAACTGTAATATTAAATATAAATTGAGAGGAACATCTTATACATTATCAAATCTAGTTAAGAATAAAATTTATCAATAAACTGTATATAAAATACTTTTATTTAATGTATCCCATAAAAATTGTTCCATTTGCATACACATTTCATACACTACATATCACAACTATTATGGGACAGAGGTAGTATATATTTTTGGACTTCCATTTATTACAACCAAATATATTATGAATCTTCAAATTTTCTGATTGTATATATTTTTTTTTAATTTAATTTTATAATTATCCTTCATTTTACAAAAAGAAAAATATAAACTAATTTATAAAAGCTTTTGATACACAAAACTGAAAGTAACTGCATTGGTAAGCACCCAAATTTGTTCTAAAATTTGACTTTTTAATACTTATTAATGCATTCGGTACCTAATCAATACTTATTAATGCGTTCAGTACCTAGTCAATACTTATTAATGCATTCGGTACCTAATGCCATTAACAAATCAACTGCAATGAGCATACTTGTACATCTTTTATAAAACATATTTTCAAGATTCCATGAGAAGGTCCCTAGTGTTTGTGTTATAAACTAAATAATGCTTAGTGCTACTTCCATACCAATATAGACATATGGTGGCATACAATACAACCAGTATTCTGACCTATTTTTATTACATAGTGTTGGAAAGTAATTTTATTTTAGTCTCTATTACAGAATATCAAATTAAAACCAAAAGGACAATACTCAAGAAAAATAGACGTCAACATCTTTTTATTTTCATTTATTTCCAGTAAATAGCAATTTCCTATTTTACCCCAAATAGCCAAACAACAATGGTATAACAATGAAGCAGTGAAGGTGTTAATTATTAATATCTCCTTTTAGAAATTCATACCTTGTCTTCATTTTATTCTCTGCATGATCCTGTAATTAATATTGAGTCTCTGGGAAATCCCCTTTTTTTATTATTATTGGCCTACACTCATTAGCAAAAAAATGATTGGTGCTTAAGATATTAGCGATTTTATTTTTTTTTCTATTCTAGTCATGAAGCAGAGGTTGATGGCGAAGAAACTACTTGTGAAGAAAAGCAGTTGAATCAAGTAAAAGAGCAAAAAGATTGGCGTGCAGATTGTGTCAAACGGACGGAAGACTTAACAGAATCAATGGAAACTCTCGGATACACAATATTTAATGAAGTAGAAGAAAAGTAAGTGCATTGGAAATTAAGATTAACAAAATTTGATGTGTTTCAATTTGCTATATACAAAGTGGTCTGAAAGTCTTTTCACTCTTACATAATATAATTTTCTATTTCAGATGGCTAACACAGTCTCCTATAAAGTGACAGCATCAATGAAAGTGAATAAACTGAATCCAGTATATGAGCTTCCTATTATTGCATTACTTGTTCTTTTATTGTTCACATTACTTTTTGGTAGGGGGTGACAAAACTTTCGGACCACCCTGTACTATAAAAAAAATTAAAAACTGCCAGCCTCTTAATTATCAATAGCAAAATACCTATAAAATCCAAACTTCAGACCACCAATGTAATCTATCAATTCCATTGTCCAGTGCAAGGCTGTGATCCTTGTAATGAAGATAAAACATCAAATAAATACATTGGTCAAACGATAACCTCTTTGAGTTTATGTTTGACAAGATACTTGAGTGATCTTAGTTCAATAAGGAGGCATTTAAACACTCGTACCCAACTCTCCACTCACATAAGAAATATCCTTGTAGATGATACTATCATTTTAAAAATATCTAATTGTAAAAGATGTTTAAAGATAATTGATGCACTTTTCATAAAGATTTACAGACTTACACATACCATTTCTATCTTTGAAACCAGTCAAGACATACTGGCTGAGTTTTGAACGCTCAAAATAAAAAAGCACCTTAATATGAAATTATTACTACTACTACTACTACTATACAACATTGCATAGAATGCAAACACAAAAGTAATACTAACAATGAAAATAGCTAAAGAATTAGCAAAAAGTGCTTGGGACAGTGATCTCTATGGACAGTTTCTACACTCTTAATTTTCATTAAAGAAAAGCTTTAAGGGCACTAGAAAAACAAAATAAAGAAATTTACAAAATTTTCTTTGTCCATCACATTCAACGAAATATGTATAAATAAAAGATTGCTGCCCAAATAAATAAATTACATCAAATTTAGCATAAAAATGAGAAAAGCAGCAGACAATTGCTGAAACCTGACAAGTGGACTGAACAGTTATAAAAAGGATTTGTTTACAAAACTCCAAAATTGAGTTGATGAATATAAAATCAATCAGCTGACAAATTTTATATGTATGTCTAAGATACAAAGACAAGCTGAAGAGTAACTTGTCAGCTGTCAATATACCTCATAACAACCTCAAGTGCTTAGCCTTGGAGTGGGTAAAATAGAGATCAACATGTTTTAGTGGACTCAGCATTTTTCAATCAGTTTGTCTGAATCATCTTCAAGAAGCGAGAGCAAGATCTAAAAGGTCAGCCAATCTAACAGTGATCTCATCCCACAATCCTCACTCTTGCTCCATATGCGGCCTCCTTTGTAAATCACTAGCGGGTCCTAAGTGTCACTTAAGATTATCACACAAATTTAACTGAATCAATTAAGTTGTCAGATCCTCATATGTCAAAACCGACGGGAGAGTCCATTATATAAATATATCTATATCTAATATATATATATATATGTGTGTGTGTGTGTGTTATATGAGAATGAGAGATTACATTATCTATACAAATTTATAAACATATGTTTATTTATATTTCATATTTAATTATTTACAAAGTATAACAGTCTCAATAGTAAGGCAACAGTAAGAATCCAACTCATGACCCTATTAGACAATACTAAGACAAGTTTCGAATCCAGTTAACAAACATATTGCTATACAAGGGTTGATCAATAGATCTGTTAGTATCTTATTTAACTTATCTGATGTAGGTATTTATTTCTAGGTATTTATCTTACCTCCAACTTTGAATGAAACATAGCACCAGGATATTTTTCAAGTGGGGCTCTTATGCATAGAATTAGTGGCAAAAATTGCTCAAGTTCAGAAAGGCCAATGATCAAGCAGATACTACACTCTGATTCTAATTAGAAAAGTCTAACAGTAATAGTTTTTTTTTGTTCACCCAATACAAGGCCCAAAAGCCACTCAAGGTTACTGAATGAGGTTGTTGTATAGACATAAATGAAGGAGGTAAGAAGTGCATTATATGAGGATATCTAGGAAAGATACAATTATCCCAAGACTTGAAGAGTTAAGATTTTAATGATCAGGGAAGCATCCACTTGGGAGTCTGTTCCACAAAGTAAAAGTTCTTGGGAAGATGCTCTTCGAATTAAACTTCCTTCTTAGTGGTGAAATACAAAGAAAATGGGCTGTTATTCATCCCAGTGTATGTGACATGAGCGAGACTTAGCAGGGATTCTTAACATACAATCAGAATAGTGGTAAATCGCATTACGTACATATCTCCTAGTTGTTTGAGAACACGTTTTAAGTGAGCCCTAAATGGAAAATAATCTAACATCACATTATGTGGCATGAATAAAATTTTCATTTCTCTTTCAGATGTATCAAGAGCATTAACATGGCAGCTTCCAATCTGAAAATGAGAAGCTACAATATGTTCAAGGCATTAGCCACTAACCACAGTGATCCTTAAGATAGCAAGCTTCTTGAAAGTGTCAAGATCCTATATGTTCAAGTTCAGGGAATAGCTGCAGACTCTCTAGTGGGGACTTGTCATCTGTGACCAAGGCAAAGAAATTTTGTAAGCAATCAGACATAAGGATGACATTTTATACAGCCGATCTAAGACATTATCTATGATTCCAGAAAGTCATTAAGCAGTTGATTGTGGCCGTGCTCAATATGAGACATATGGTGCATGGGCATCAGGTCCTATGATGTGATAGGGAGAAAACAGTTTATGCCTGATTAAATCCAGTAGAACCACTTACTAAATAAACTCAAGCATTCCAAGGAGTCTGCTATGACCTGGTTTTTCTCCATTGAGAAGAATTTTAGCCAAGACCACAAAATGAACAGCAGAAATAACAGGTGGCACTGTCGGCATTATGGAAGTACCTATGATGATACACATTAAGTTCACATTATCTGTGATGGTCCTGGGAGTTGTGAGCCATGGGGTACCACATCATGCTGGCCAACATCTTTCTGCAAGGTCTCATGGTCAAATGCCATCACCTACATAAAAGAGCTGGAAGTAGTGATCAAATGCTGAATTAAGGATTTCAATCAGGAGGGATGGCTTAGATGTTCCATCAGGATTCAGTTTCCTTTCTACATTTTTCATGTCAAAATCATGTCATCTCAACATGTAGCTTCTTAGCTTTTCTGATTTTAATCTCCTGGACTATATATAGTGAATCATCCAGAGGATAACTAACCCGCAGACTGTGCACCCCCCCTCCACCCAATACCACGGACTCATTAAAGATCACCATAGTGAACATGATATCCATCATGAATAAGAACTGCCTGATCCAGGCAGTCTCTTCTGAGACCATATCAAGGCCGTCTTTAAGTTAAATATGTACTGTGTACAGATATCTTTGAAAATCTACTGACTTTTTATATATATATATATTTTTTTTTTTTTTTTTTTTATGACTTTGTTTTTTGTAATTTATTCCCAATTACCTGGCAAACCCTGTAAAGAAAATAAGATTATATGTTAATATTATTTAGATTATTTATATTTGGACTAGTCTCTTCATCTTTATTGTTGTTACTACAACAATTCAGCAGTTGTGCACTCCAGGCTTCTTCAGATTTATATCAATCTACACTACAAGTAATTCTGATCTGAACCCTTTATTTAATCTACAAGGGTAGACAGTTCTTGTTCCACTGCCCACGTCTAGTTCTTATATTTAGTACTGCTGTTATTGCTCTCCTCGGACAATAGCCTAGTGGATTAAAGTGTCGGTCCGTGAATTTGGTGACATAGTAGTTGTGAGTTCAATCCTTGGGTCGGACAGTGTGTATTTGAACTCAGTAAGCAATAATTGAGCAGTATTATAAATAAGAACTAGACAATATCCCTCAACATGAGCAGTAGAACATGGACAGTCTATCCCTATAGATTAAATAAAGGTTTCGGTTCAGCATTTCTTGTAGGTTACAATATACACCTGAAGAAAACTGGAAGACACAACGGCAGAAATGTTGTGATAACAACAACAAAGATGAGGACAATAGTCTAAATATAAATAATGAAAATGATAACTCACAAAAATTCAGACAAATATGTTACTGATATTATTTTTTTTTCTTAAAGGAAATCAGCCAAAGTTTCAAGAGTTCAGTTATTGATTCATCAGGATTCATTACCCAAATATGCCAAAATGAATGCTGGGAAAAAACCAATGCATATCAGGTTTGATAGTGAGGATGAGAGTGACAATGACAGTAAGGACAATGACAGTGACAGTAGTAAGAAAATAAGTGTAAAAACAAAGCCTTTGAAGAGCAAAACCTTAAATAAAGTAAAAACGTTTCTTGAATCAATTGAAACCAACAGTGAGCTAGCAAAACAGCCTTTAAAGGAAGAAATGGAAAATTTAAATAGCAATTATTTTAAAGAAGATGACAAGGAATCATCTTTGAAACCTTGTGAAACTGATGATGGTGATAAGACAGCTGTTGATGTTAATGCTGCCGTTTCTTGTGATGGAAACTCCATTATGAGAAATGACAACAGCTCAACAAGTTTGCCAAGTGATGGTGATATTAGTCATAAAGTTAGTGCTGATTCCAGTGCTGCATCTGCAGATCAGATTTCAGATTCCCCGTCAGATATTACCAGAACTGAAAGAATTGTGAACATGAAGAAGAATCATTCAAAATCAAAAGCAAAGAACTTAATTAAACTGACCGAAGTGCCTGCTGAAATTATGAATGAAAAAAAGACATTAATGAAATACTGGGCACAGAGGTTTCGACTATTTTCCAGATTTGATGAAGGAGTCAAAATGGACAGAGGTAAGATTACTTACCCATTTATTTTTTTTTTATTTAATTTTTTTTTTAAGTATAGAATTCTATCCTTTATCTTCCTGACTACCAAATTTCTGGAAACTAAATTTAACATTTTTCTTTTCTTTTCTCACTCCCTTAATAACTGTTTACATAACTTGTGATATTGCAAGGATGATTTATTAAATAAATATATCAAAACTTTAATTTATTCTAATGATTACTTATATACAGTCTGTCTGAAGTTGTTATGCCAATCACATAAACCTCAATAACTCAAATTTGCTTTGAGAAATTTTTGTCAAATTTTAAACAGTTAATTTAGACATATAAACAAAGTTTGGGTTATTTTTTTAGGTAGTTATATTAAAGTTATTGGATTTATTAAAAAAAAAACTGAAATCTGAAGTTATTCAAAACCAGAAAATTACTTTTTACTTCAATAACAAGGTAATACAATAATCAACAATTGATTAACACCTATAATAGAACAAATAACAAACATATGATAAGTCTTTGAAGTATTCACATCTTAATATAGTGACCCTTCTTAATAACAGCCAGCTATCTATTACCTATTGATTTTGTTTGTTTTTTTTTGTTTTTTTGTTTTTTTTTTACTTCAGCAGCTTCAATTTCCGACATGGTAGTCTTAATTGCTTCCCATAGATCTACTTTGCTGTCATATTGTTTGGCATCTTCATATAATTTCATCTTTTTAAATTGACCATAGATTTTTGATTGGATTCACATCAAGACTTGATGGTGACCATTCCATTATCTTCTCTCCTGTAAATCTTTTATGCTCAAAATATTCACTGTTAACCTTAGATACATGAGAAGGAGCATTGACTTGCATAAATACACACTTCACTTTGAAACTGCAAGAATGGGACTTGTACCACTCAAAGAAAGTCTTCTCCATGAAATTGCAATCATTAACACTATTCAGTTTAACTCTTCATTGAATTCAAATGGTCCAGTAATGGTTTGATCAACAATTTCAGCCCATATCATCATACTGCCACCTCCTTGCTGTCTTCCTTTAACCACAGGTACATCTTCATAAAATCTATTCTTTTGCCCATCAAGTGTCACCTGAGATTCATCCCTGAAAATTACTTTAGAAAAGTCAATTTTCATGTATTTCTTGGTTTAATTTTGACACATTAAAATATTTTAAGATTTTTTTTTTTTTTTTTTGATGGGAATTTTTTTTTTTTTTTTTTTTTTCTTCAAAAATGTATTGCTGGTATTAAAACCTATTTTTACACTTTCATAGTGTTTTGACCCCAGTTTGGGAGTTAACTATTTGCCCATAGCTGTGACTCCCTAACAGGTGCTACCACCTCACGGGGCTTACTCCTGCTTTTACTTCTCCTCATTATTATTGTTATTTGAATTATTAATATTTGTGATATCATTTCACAATTTAAATGCATTATGGGAATGTTTTGAACTTCTACTTCCTGAATATATTTTCAGTATTATTACCTGTGTTATTCTACAGGTAATCATTAGGGGGAATGATAGTTTTGACATATTTACTTAATATATATCCTACACCTGATATCACAGCAAAATACTAAAAGTGTATATATATATATATATATATATATATATAAGTAAATGTCCAAAACATTTCCATAATACATTTAGTATGTGAATTATATCACAAACACTAATAATTCAAATTTTGTGATTTATGAAGCAGATAAGGAAAGCTGAAAAACATCAGCCATAATTTAGTAATGTTATGTGTGTCTTACTATAGATCATGCCAGAATAAACTTTGCACTCAGCTTGACCTCGGATCATTTGAGGGAGCCAGGTGCAGGGTTGACCTCGAGATCAGCTGTCACGTGGAGAGCCACATGAATAGAACAGCTGTACCTGCGTTACAAGTATGGGAATGAGTAATATTACAAACACCTACCTCAGTGAGGAAATGGGCAGTCTGTCAGACATCTCATATGAGAATGTCAGGTTCACATCCAGCTAATGACTACAGTGTCTCACACAGACATACGGTTTGATGGGAATTGATAAAGTACAGAGTGAAATAAAATTTAATATTAAATATGAAAGATTCCAGCTTCATGTTATCATTAATGAGCACAATAACTTTTTTTACAATAATACAACTCGATAAGAATCTTAGTCTGAATAACTTATGAAATAATGACAATGATATTTGAACAAAATTTGGAAAGAAGTATAGTACAAAAAAATAGTGCAAGAATGAGAGAATGTAGGATGGGACCTTAAGCATTTCCCGGATGAGATTGGCTGTAGAGAGTGCATAGGTGTGCACTTGGCTGGGATTCATTGAAATCAAGAAGAGAAAAGTAAGTGCAACACTAAAGGATATCCAAGCAGTGACTAAGAAAGTGAGCCATTGGATCAGAGACTCAAAAGAAATGATAAAAATTGTCTGGCAAAATGTTCCCCCAAAAGAATGCATAATAGTCAATGTAGTAAATCAGTGAATGTGGCTGGTGTTCAATGAAATCTGTTGAGATTTAAGGCTTTGAAATGGAGTGCATTTTCCACTGATTATCCTGAGAACCTTATTGTGTCCAGTACACAGAGCATTCAATTGACAGTACTTGCAATAACAAGCTCCTCTTATATTCTTACTGCTAAGGAATGTATAATACATAAAGCAAAAATATTTTAGCAATTTATCAATGCTAATAAAATTCTTCTTTTAATAAATCCCTGTTGCCATACACTTTAGAATATTCCAAAATATTTTGTCTTGTAGAAAGTTGGTTTTCTGTCACTCCTGAAAGAATTGCGGAGCACATTGCTGAGAGATGTCGTTGTGATGTCATTGTTGATGGTTTCTGTGGTGTTGGAGGAAATGCTATACAGTTTGCTTTTACCTGTTCACATGGTAAGTTTTTTTGTTTTTATGTGCTTAGTACTCACTACTGACAATTTTCATCAGTGTTGACATCATAAGTTCATTAAACTTAACTAAAAAATATCAGATTGGAAATTATACGTTTATTGTCATTAATGTTCATTAATTCTGTAATTAATTATAAGGGTGTGGTGGTTGGATTAGGACCTTAGTGTTCTGACCTTGAGGGTTCAAATCACACTATGGGCAATTTGCCAAGGATATTTGCTTTGAGGGCATGTAAAACTGTTGGAAAGTGCCTAAAATCACATGACAATTTGACCCAAACCTTGTCAGTCAAATTGAGTAGACAAAACTGTTTAAAAACAGACTCAGTGTACTGGTTTTTCTTCACCGACTGATCAGACCAGATTATGTGCTCTCTCCCAGAAATTGTTAGTAAAGTTCACTCAGCAGGCTTTCAATACAAACCACACACTGACTCTGTGGGTATTGAAGAAACATGAATCTGCCTGAGCTGGCATCTGCAACAGGGATTAGACTCCTCTAGCATACTCAGAAATGAGCAACCAATAATTTACCATTTCCTGACCACCGATAATGCCTTCTTTTCTGATTTCAATGCACAAAATACAAATTATGTGTTGAGGCTTGCTAAAATAAATTTAGGCCAAAAAAAATTCCCAAATTTGATAATCTTGACATGTTTTGCCTACTGCTAATATTTTATTTGTTAGTACAGAAAATGGATTGGTGGGAATGACAGTTAGGGTAATGTCAATGGGTAATGATAAGTAAAGCGAAAATCTTATCTCTCTACATATAACAGATTCAAACTGAAATACAACTGTTTTATTATGTGTTATCATAATTTGTTGTGTCACATATATAACATTGTTGTGTCACATATATAACATTGTTGTGTCACATATATAACATTGTTGTGTCACATATATAACATTGATTAAGTTTGGCAAAAAAAAAAAAAAAATGGCCAACCAGAGTATGTCTGGCAAGTAGTTGCTGTAATCATAATGTTCAATATCAAGGGACAGAGCATTAATAATAATAATAATAATAACAATAAATATGTAAATTTTTTCTGTATATTTCTGAGATGAGGAATTATAATTATTTGTACTATTTACATTGTTTGGATTGTTGTCCTCATCATTATTGCCATATTCATGATGTTTCAGCCATTGTACACTCCAACCTTCTTCAGGTGATATATGTGGACTGAATAAAGCGTTCAGTTTGAAATTCCAATGTATATCACCTGAAGAGGGTTAAAGCATACAATGGTTGCAACATGAATATGGCAATAGACAACAGTCTGAACAGTGTAAATATTTATTATATATATATATATATATATATATATATATATACATACATACTAGATTTAATGGAAGTTTTCAGGTATTTGTTTATTGGCAATAAAAATTGGTGAGCTGTTGGAGTCTGTTGCATTCACTTTGCATTAATGCTCTTGGGAGAGGCATGAATCCATCTCTTGTCTCCTCAGCTGTAGATTAAATATCAGGGCAGACTGATCTCTCCAGCTTTGGGTAGCAACCAGTCTAATACATGAAAATTGTATTCAATCAATTGCTAGCTCTACTGCTAGGAAAGTTGGTTCAGTGTCATGCTAGACAATTTTTATCAACAGAATCTACCATGCACATTTATAAGTCTATAGTCATGCATTGAACACATCTGGTCTAGTGCTTTTGCTAAGTCTTTAGATTTTCTTAATAAAATACAAAGAAGATTCTGTAATGTTATTTGTCCTGACCTGGCATCTCAGCTTCAGTCACTTTCCCACTGCTGTACCATAGCTTCCCCAAACTTTTTCTATAAATATTTTCATGATAATTGTTCTGATGAACTTTCTTCTTTGGTACATAGACTCTATGAATTTAAGTGCAGTACCAGATTGGCAACACGGTCTCATCATCTTACAGTTGAAATGGTGAGAGATGTTACTGTGAGGTCTATGCTAAAGAGTTACTTCTGTTGCACTTCTCACTTGTGAAACTCTCTTTCAACTTATTTTATTTCCAGTCAACTTTGATCTTCAAAAATTTAAATGTAATGTCAATCGTTATCTTCTGTTTTCTTAATTCCTCTTTTATTGTTCTATCTTCTTAACAGTTTTTTTTTCATATTCTTTCACACTCAGTAACCCCTTGTATCTTAGTGGCTTTATTGCCTTGCTTGGGATGAAATAATTTTAAAAAATTATTCTACTGGAATATGGAAATCCTCTGTGTTATTCAGCGTTAAAATGAGGTATTTCCCATTGAAAAATATGATCACACAAAAAGGTATATTTGCCAGTAGTGCATAATTATCCCAAACAACTTAAACCAGTTATATCTATACTGATAAGCTACAAAGGGAAAATAAACTGTGGTTATTACATAACAAGGGCACCATACATACTAAATTCATATTTTCATTGACTCCCCTCCCAAAAATTCCTAAAATTGCAACAAACAATGATTCTTGAATTATTAAACGCCTATTATTATTTAATAACAATATTTGAACCACTATCTAAAGTAGAAAGAATTAAATAATTTTTAAGGATTTTCTAAATTGTTTTACTGTTGTGGACATACCTATACATTTTTATGATAATTGATATTATTCCATCACTTTTTTTTTTTTTTTTTTTTTTTAATTAAAAAAAAGGTGTGACTAACGCTCAATAGCATCAACTTCAAACTCTGTCACAATGTGCTGTGACTGTATTTGGAAAATTAAAAAACATTCCCATCATTACTGATTCACATATATAAAAATTTAGATATTCAGTTAAAAATAAAAACATCCTTGATAATGGCCATTAGAATAGTCAAAAACACTTGGATATATAGAACATTTAGACAGCTTTATGTCCATAAGATAAAACACTTATATGAACACAAGAAAAATTGAATAAAAAGATTAATCACAGTACATTGCCTGTCGTCTTTACTGAAACTTGTATGAAAGAGTGATTACTGTGGAAACTTGAATATACTTTTGATAGCAGCAACACTGGTCTATACAGAGATGACAGTTATCCTCCTATTTAATACCAATCCACAAAAAATAGATCACCTTAGAAAACAACTTCTTAAATATTTCAAGGACCATGGACTAAATATCACCACTAACACCAATGCGAAGGTGATTAACTTTCTGGACACTACTTTCAACCTATCCAAGCCTTTCACTAAAGAACTTTATAATCATAAATACATTAGCAAAGAATCTAACCATCCCCCAGGAATTTTTAATAATTTGCACAAATCAGTGCAACATAGGCTCTCTACTAACTCTAGTAATAAAGATATTTTTGACAAATATAAAACTAAATATGTAGATGCACTAATAAAAAGCAGACAAAGTTAATCTGGAATACATCAACAATAATAAGACTGACAACAAAATGCATAAACACAGAAAGTACAATATAATTTTTGTTTAACCCACCATCTAACAGTAATGTCAAAACCAACATGGGTAAAATTTTACTTAATTTAATCCACAAACATTTCAACAATAGTCCATTGCTCAACAGGATTTTCAACAAAAACAACATTAAAATTAGCTACAGCTGAACTAAAAACCTTGAGCAGTTGTAGTGAAAAAGATAATCAGTTACCCTGAAAAAGAGTCCATGTTTTGTGTGCGATCTGCAGAAGAAAAATTACCAAAAAGTAGTTAGCAAAAATCTACATCAATGACTAGAAGCTATGCTAATGTTCTTCCCTCCCCTGAATGGCGTAACCAATCAGAAAATTCTCTCAGTAAACAGAAGCCGTTGTTTTTCGCTTATGAAAGGAGATTTTTTTTGAGCTTGGTGGAACGAACAGGCATTTTTTGCTGGTGAGAAGTGAAGGTTGGACATGTGACCCCAATTTGTCGTTTCTGCATTGTTTGTTGGACTGTTACATCGGACTATCATTTGAACTGCGGTTTGGCTACAAGTGTTGCAGTCGAGAAACAGAAGAAATCTATTGCAGTTGCTACTATCAGTTGACAGTCTTTTCTTTACTACAACAGCAGTATAAAGCATAACACAATTTAATATTAAATAAATATTTAAACAACAAAAATTGTAATTATCAAAAAAAATAGTACCTGCCCACTAAATTCTAAATGCATGAATAAAGGTGTTATTTACAAAGCTAGCATTGAGCATAATGGCAAGACTAAATTTTATTTTGGTCTCACTGCTAATGATTAGGAAACTTGGTATTACCATCTTAAAATGACACTTACCAATAAGCAATATTCAAATACCACAACACTCTCTAAATTTTTCTGGGAAATAAAACGGGTAACTACACACCTGTAGTAAATTGGGATCTCATTGCTATAACAAAACCTTTTAACCTTAACAAAGAAAAGTGTGACCTGTGTCTATTAGAAAAACAGACTACCCTCAAACACATCGATAATCATAATCTGCTGAACAAGAGAAATGAATTTATGATTACATGCAGTCATACAAGGAATTCTCTTAAATATTTTGATGCTGACTGGAGCAATTAATCTATCATCTGCTGTAATATATATTTTTTTTCCATATCCAGTTACCTCCCTTACACTATCCTAGCATTTAAGTTTTTGTAACTTGTTCCTTTTTTTATTTTTTAATGTTTTATTATTCTTTATTGTTGTTGTTGTTTACATTTTTTCTTTACTCTGTATTCTTTTTAGCTTACCCAGGCTTTTTATTTTGTAACTACCAACTTTTTTTTACAATAATCTTATTTGTTGACTGAATACACATTAATGGATCAATATCTCTTAAACTTATTATTAATAGTTTATTTTTCAATATCTACCTACCAACACTCTATATTTCAAATTTATACCCCAATACTATATTATATTTATAATAATCTTGAACTTTGAATCCACATACAATGCAGCATTGCCCCCCATGAGATCCAGAAATTTAAAAAAAAAAAAAAAAAAAATGAAAATAAACAACCATATTCAACAGTTTGTAGCTTTTTATACTTGATGATTGGGAAAGCCATGAAACTCTGAGTTGTAAACAGATATATGTGTAATTATTAATAATATAGGTAGTAATCCATTGGTATATAATCCAATTGAATCCTATTAATATAATAACAATATTAAAACTGCTTCACAAAGAGAGCTCAATGTTTTATTCAAACAGAGCATATAAATTACCTACAATAGGAATTAAGATTACATCAAGATTATGATCATTTCACTCCACAAATTAAAATTAACCTGGGGGATTTTGAAACCCATCATGTTAAGAAAAAAATAAAATGCAAATGGCTTAAAAACAAATTTAAAAACCAGGCAGAAAGAAAAACAGAATAAAAGAAAGAGTGAAGATCAAGATAGAAAATGTAAGAGAAAGAGAAAGGAGGTATAGAGGGTGGTAATGTCTAGACATGGGGAATGGTAAGAGGAGATTCATAATGTAAATTGACCTGATTTATATAGAATATCCACCTCAGTTAAATTGAAGTGGAAAATTAGGGAAGAATAATTTTTAATAATTAAAAAATTACTATTAATCCAATATATATATATTAATATATTAATAATTTCAGTTTTTCTCTTCAATTTAAATATTATTATATCCTGTAATATATGATTAGTATAAATTTTAACTCTGTTATATGTTGAGCATTATTTTATTACCACCATATATATATATATATATATATATATATATATATATATATATATATATATATATATATAATCATGAGAACTCATAATCAGCATCTTTTTTGTTTTGTTAGTTTGTTTTAAATTAATCTTTATTTGTTTTGTTTGTAGTGATTGCTATTGACATTGATCCAATTAAAGTGGAGTATGCTCGCCACAACGCCCAAGTGTATGGTGTAGAAGACCATATAGAATTCATTGTTGGTGACTACATGCAAGTTGTACCTCACCTGAAAGCCGTGGATGTTGTATTTCTCTGTCCTCCCTGGGGAGGACCAGATTACCTCAAAAGCAAAGTATTTGATGTTGAGAAGATGGAAATCAAAGCATATCCTTTTTTATGAATCTTGTTTCATCTCCACCTCTGATATCGCACTTTTCAGATGCTTTATTCATTATAAACTTTGGTTATTTATTTTGTTTTTTGTTTTTTTTCTTACTTTTTTTTCACTGAACTCTCTTTTTATTTGTTCTCTACCAATTATTAGGCCATTGTCAGTTGAATAGTATCTTTCTAATCATTGGTGGCAGTTGTCATATTTTGTTCAACCCAAAACTTGATCACTAACCCTCACTCAGGTTGCTAGTAATGAAGGTGTTTTTCCTGCTAGTTGATTAAAATAGAGATCAAAATAGAATTGCCCCACATTTTCTTTGGAATTATCAATGATGTCTCTCAGCTCCAGACGATACATCGCCATATGGAATTCAGATCGGGCAAGGAACACACACAGGTTCTTGGGATTTCCTTCAAAACACAAAAATGCTGTATTTAACACTAAATTTCCAACAACAGCTTTATTTATGGTATCTTCTTTGGGAGTTGAATGAATTTTATAAAAATCACACCATTTTGCTTAATTGCAACAGTGATGATCAATTTCTAGAATGCTTGTAATTTGCTGGAAATACACAGGATTTTAAACTTGTTCCTGTGGAAAACCTAGATGAAGGTTTTGGGCCCTGAAACCATACTTTATTTGAAAATAAACTCTTTAGTCACATTTTATTTATCTGAAACTGGGAGATCTTCAATACTCACTTTTTTTCTTTTTTTGAAAATATGGAAATCTTAAAAGTGTATACTGTGCAATTATTATTGAGAAATCACTCCCCATCTACAGAATTGTTATGATGTAGACTTATGGTCAGACAACTGTATTTTTTGCTTTTTTGCATGGCCTCCAAATTTTGCTCCATGTTGAAATTTCTTACCTAAACTGACCACAAATTTATCCATCCTTATTGCAACAGGGAACACATGTATAACACCGAATTATGTTTTTATAGGAGCTTATATGTAAATAAACATATTTTGATGAAAAGGATGTCCATTCAGTTTAAAATATCTTTTCCTTTTCTGTTAAAATACAACATTTAATTGGCTACAACCTAATTTACATGTCCCGCATCCAATTTGATAGAAATTTAAAATGTTACACTTTTAAAGTAAGCTAAGTTGTCAGACGTTCATTCGTTTCATTACTCGGGTTTTTTTTTTGGTTTTTTTTTTATTTCTGCTACCTTCATCATTGGTGCTTTTATGCCAATTTTCCTACCAAAATGTTCATTGGTCTTTTAGAGGTTAATTGGTGCTTTTTTTTTCTTCTAAATATGAGCACTGCAAGAAATCATTGGTCTCCAGTTCCAGAAACTCGTTAAATTCTGGCGTTCTTACTTAAGGAAATGAAAAAGCAAAAAGTATTGAGTAATTTCTATAGCTCACCAAATTCAAGATATGTTCTTCAGCCTATCAACAAAAACATCATGATAAAAACAATAAAAATGAAGATACTAGTCCAGAATATGTGTGGATTAAAATCGGTTATCATTTTTTTTTGTTCTTCATATTTTCCTTAACCTGATACTTCCAGCTTATTTTCTGTTGCACGAAAAGTAACCAATAATATTGCATTCTTCATACCTCGTAACACCAGTGCTGAACAGGTAAGTCTATTTCATTCTATCCGCACATCTTGTGATGGCGGTGGTTAGTTTGGAGAAAAAGGCCATCTCAGTGGAACTTCCGTCTTACATTTGGAGCATTATTTACATTATTCGGACTATTGTCCTCATCTTTGTCGCCATATTTATTACGTTTCGGCCGTTGTATGCTCTGGCCTTCTTCAGGTGGTTGGAATGTCGAACTTAACCCTTTATTTCGCTCACTGGGGTAGACTGTTCTAGTTCCTTGTGCCATGTTTAATGGATATCAGTTATCTCCTGTTAATTTCCCTCTGAAAGTTCTCCACTGCCTTAACCGAGTATTGAACTCACTCTCTTTGGGTCTTGTCACTGGATCTAACCAATGCATTTATCCACTGTGCTGTGTGTCCTTGAGGGTACATGGCATAATGGATAACCCCAGTGAGCGAAATAAAGGGTTAAGTTTGACATTCCAACCACCTGAAGAAGACCAGAGCGTACAATGGCTGAAACATTGTAATAAATATGGCATCAAAGATGAGTACAATAGTCCGAATAATGTAAATAATACCTCATCTCGGAAATATAGACAGATACAATTTGGAGCATAAGAGTGATTCAACTCTGTGGATGGCAAACCCTTCATATGGAAAACCCTTCATTCATTCTAATCATTATAGCAAATACTGAGAATCTATATAGGAAATAAGCAGATGTTCAAATTTCTATTGCATGTTTAATGTGTGAACAGATATAGGGTATATAATGTTAATACAAGGGAGTGCTGAAAAGTTGTTGACTTGAACTACTTATAAAATCAGTATTTCAATGATACAATATCAAAATCCTCTGATTGAAAAGGCAGTCATTTGAATTCTTTTCAGTTTTCTGCTAGAAAATGTTTGCAAACTATTTGAACAAATGAAAATCAGGAAAAGAGAGATTGTCAGTAGTGAAGAATTAACATAATTGTTAATTATGGTATAAGGTTATTAGATTTATAATGTAAATACACTGGTTATAAAAATGGTTTGTAAATCCTGACAAGGGATTGTCAGAGGCCAGGAAGTCATGGAATACAGTTATTACTTGTTTGATATAGTTTCTTTGGATTTCTTAATATTTAATTCTTCTTGTTTTATAGCTCAGCAGTCTGGCAGCACCTCACGGATACGTGGAAGTTGAACAGAATATTCTCAACAACAAATTGAAAACTATAACTGCTTACTATGGAGAACTTATCATGGAAGGCAAAAAATAA